TGGATTTGAACCCTGAACCCTTCACTGTCTAAGGCAGCAGTCCTAACCACTAAACCACTATGCTGCCTGGCAGTGCTTTCCTTTCTTTTTTTTTTTGAAGGTTTGGCCTTTTCATTTCAGGACATTCGGTTAGTTTAAAATCATCACTGTAACTGATGGGAGAAACCCAGATCAACATTGGTTGGCCTTAACCAAGATTGGAACTCTCAGCCTCTTGAATGGGAGGCAGCAGTCTTAGCCTACAGGCCTCTGTGTAGCCTGCAATTGCATGTTCTTTTATGGGATTTGTCCTTTTCATTTCAGGGCATTACAGTAGGTGGAAATCATTGCTGATGGGAGAAACTCAGATCAACCTTGGTTGGGCTCAGCCAAGATTCAAACACTCAACCTCTTGAATGGGAGATGGCAGGCTTGGCCACTACGCCTCCATGCAGCCTGTCGGAATACTCTTTTCAGTGGGTTCGTCCTTTTCATTTCAGGATATAAGGATAGTTTAAAAGAGTGTACAGTTAGGGCTGATTCAGGCTTGTTAAGGACCAATCTAGTAATGGCACTATAGGCTTAGACTGCTGGGGGACTTGACACATCAACCTCCTATTTCCCCTTTCTCTCTCCTATGCGTTAATGTTTCATTTGTGGTTCAAGCATTTGAGGAGAAAACCTGCCTTTGTCTTTGTTTCAGTTTTGTCTCCTTCTTTGTCATGTCAAACTGTCCTTGGACTAGACACTGGAGGCCAAGTTGCCCTAAAAGACAGCTGTTGTTGTGTGATTGCGGTTGTGATGAGAAGTTGGGCCCATCCCATAGCTGCCTCGGCTATCAGTGTGTAAATGTGTGTGTTAAAGGGTGAGTGTGACATGTAAAAGAGCTTTACCATTTACCATGTAGTGAGTGTAAACAGGTCTTGAAGTCCTGGACAACTATACGCACAACTGTTTTTTGTTTTTTTTCCACTTTCCTCAGTTTGCCATGGTAACTAGAAGGATCACCCACTCATAATCGCACTCCCATTTCTGAAGGCATCTTACCCTGTGCTTGTGCGATCCAGTTTTTCGAGCAGCTTTAGTAGAAGAGAGGAGACGCGCACTGTAGCTTTAAGAGAATAATCACCATTTCAAGAACTAAGGGGCACTGATTTGGAGCATCAGTAGGTTGAAGTAAAGGTCAAGGAGGCATGGCAAAGTCTCAAAGCAGAACTAGCTAAATTAGTCATGTCACTTGTACAAGAAGACTTTTCTCTCTGAAAAGCTGAGACTCCTTGATCTGCTTCTTTTCATAGAAATAAAGTGATAACTAAGACCAGCAGCACACGTTTATTATTATCTTTGTGATTTTTCTGTATCAGTAAAATACCCATGTTGAATGAACGGTACCAATAAAAGAAATATCATTTAAAAGGAAATATGACCACAACACTCACCAAGAGGATAGACACTTTTCATGCTCCATGTACTGCAACAGCTTCTGCAGACAGAATCATGTCATCATAGTCATAATGAAATTATTTTTATGACCACAACACTGATTTCCTCAGGGAGCTTTCAGGGAAGGGTCCCTCTGAGCAGGCCTCTGAGTGAGGACACTCTGCAATAACCAGTCGCTTTGGGTAACGTTGCAGTGGAATATTTTACTTTGTTGTTTCACCACACACACACAAACACACACACATGCACACACACACACACAAACTGTAAAACATTCAATATTGTCTTAGTGATTAATCATTGAAATTCAGTAGCTAATTGCAATTAATCACGTTTTTTATCACCTCATTATTTTGCATTTCAAAAATGTTTTAGTAATGCTTTAATTTTGTGTTTTTGTACTGACTTAGGCTAAGGGTATTTTATTTCCTGTTTGGATAAAAAAAACAGCTTTTATTTTAAAAGTAAATAAGGAACGTCTGCTAGATGGAAGGTTACAAGATTAACTTCACCATGGGAGAAAAAAAGGCTCGAAAAGTAAATGAAAACGACCAAAGCGGACGGTAAAAAAGTGAAACGCTTGACGTCACATGGTGGTTATTTCTTATCACTTGTCATCTGAGCCGTCTGGGGCTTTTATAATGTGTAATGAGCCGTTCAAAGGCACAGAGTTGTCATTCTTTTCTATCACTGTGCCCACAGGGAGATTTTTCTGCCACCAGTGCTAGGTTAGCTATGGGGCTACCTTGATCAAGTGTGGTGTGCTTCAGGCTCATTTAGCTACAGCTGAAAAGCGGCTGCTAGTTAGCAGGAAGGATGTGTTACTGTTTCAACTGTAAAGTTTGATGAATCTGCATTACCAGAATATAAGCTCTAGCAGTGGTAATACTCATTGTAAAGCCTTGATTTGATTTTATATATATTTTTAGGTTGCAAGTTATTAAATACTTTTTCGGCACATTTTTTGTGTTTTATTGTGATGTGCTGAAGAAACTGAGCTTGGCCTGTAAAGTTAGCAACATGTATTTCATCATAAACCCACTTTAACCTTTTTTGTATTCATATTTTTTTAATTTTTTTGTATTGTACAAGAAATCCTTAGCACGGTCCAGCCCCCACATAAACCCTCGATCCATAATCCAAACCCACTCAAAGAACCACTTAGATATTACTCAAATGTATCTCAGTCAAAGAAAAAGGCCTGCTGCCACATCAACATCTAAAGTCTGAAGTTCTTTTTGCTGAACATCCAAAAAGGAGAACCAATTGAAAGCTGATCAGCTAGATGTTTCATAGCACCATGAAGACGGGAAAATCTGGCTATGCTGACAGCAGACTGTTACCAGGTGCCCGACTTGTTTGAAGAGCAGATAAGTAAAGTGACATATGAAGATGTGTGTGTGCGCGTGTGTGCGTGTGTGTGAATCTGCAAGGCCATGCTTCAGAGGGAGATAAAGCCTGAAGAGAAAGCTATTTCTTTAATGGTTGCAGGCAGAGTCGGTCTTTGAATGCAGCTTCGACCGGCTAATTTCAGAGCTGCATTGGAAACCTAGAATCCCTCTGTTAACACATCAAGGCAGAGCTGTCTGAAATGAACCAAGAGCCTAAGACAGATTTGATTATAAAAAGGCGGTGAATTAAAATTAAATTTGCAACGGTAAATCCATCAACTAGTCAAAGGCTTATATTAATATTGACATTTTCAAAGAACAGCTATTAGCAGGGACTGTGTTGTGTCAGAGGAGGAGGGGAGGGGAGGGGGGTTTCTTTTATTCTGTCATCTTGACCTTTACTTCTCAGAGGAACACATTACAACTGACATTGCTTCACTAACAAACACACTTCAACACACTGACATACACACATACACATACACACACACACATTTGACGTTGTTCAGCTCTGGAGGATATGAGCACATTTTTGAATAACATGCGGAGTAACACCATCTAGTGGACATAAATCAAGAGTCCTGACGAAAACATGCTGCAGCAAAATCATGTGAGCTGAGGAGCTAAAAATATAGTTTCCAGTTTTAAGGGCAGTTTTGTTACAGATGAAATATTTTTATTTTGGATTTTTTTTTTTCTGATTTGGAGGGTGCGGGCCAAGCGCTCTCATATCCTTTACACCAGACACTAAATAGAGCACGGACTGAAATAAGTAGGGGACTGATGGAAACTAAAACTGCAGAACTGCTAACCTAGTTGCCCCTGGCTAATACTTAGATTATAAAAACATTAAGTGTTTCATAATGATGATATTTACAATCTAATTGGGTTCTGTTAAATCATTCACTTTGTATTTGACGATCAAACACTGCCATCTAGTGGTTTGGATCCATCCCGACAGAGCCAAGTTCATTTCATGTGACAGTTTCACAATAAAGCAATTTTTTGTGTTTATCATAAAAAAATCTGAGAACCAGACTGATGTTTTCTCGTCAGGGCTGTGTTTGATTTCATGTTTAACCATGAAATCTTCATAGCAATCACATCATCAGAGGGAGTTAGTTCAGGCCTTCCTTGAAATACAAGGTTAATTCAATTCTTACCCATCATACCCACTTTGATTCATACCATTGATAGAGCTTTCTCTCCTCTTCAATAATCAATATGATTGTGAAAAAACACAACCCTTGTTTCTGAAATGTGCTATAGGGGGCGGCTGTAGCTCAGGCTGTAGGCACCTGGGTTGGGAACCAGAGGGTCATCGGCTTAAGTCGTGGTGCGGACTAAAATACGGAAGTTGCTCTGGTAGCTAGAGAGATGCTAGGTCTCCTCCCGAGCACTGCCGAGGTGCCCCCGAGCAAGGCACCAAACCCACAATCGCTCTGGTGCGCTCCCTGCTTAGCAGTGTGTAGTCTTCATATTTAGCTCCAAGAGAAACTCATACAAATTGAAGTTCCTGAGACCTGAGATCTCTGCCAACCTGGCAGCCATTTATTTTCTAAATATCATTGAACCAACTACAGATGTGGAGTGTTTTAGTTGTGATAAGTAGATCGGCAGCTTTTTTTCTTTGTTTGTTTTGTTGTTTTTGACTTTGCATCCTTGTATGTCTTTGCAGCACTTTCACTGTAAGTGCATTTGTTTGGGACTTTTCAGCACTTTTCTGTTTTGGACTTTGAATCAAAATTTGCAGTATGATGCTACGAAAAAAAAAAAATGGGTTTGTTGTAGAACTTCAGCCCCCGTCGCCACCATACTTTCTGTACTTCAATTTCCTGCTACGTTTCAGCTTACATATTCACCAGAAAGCAGACAATAGCGGACATTTGTCCCTGGAAAATTCATTGAAAATGATTTAAACAGGGGTGCTGGTGGCGTGGTGGTTGGTGTGCACGCGCCCCATGTATAGAGGCTGTAGTCCCACCTGTGGCTCCTTTCCCGCATGTCATTCCCCACTTTCTCTCTCCCTGGTTTCACGATCTACCCACTGTCCTATCTCTCCATTAAAGGCACAAAAAAATAAAAATAAACCTCCAAACAAAAGAACATGCTTCAAACAATAGGAATGAATCATTAATAAGCAAAGTAACACATCAACAACAACAAAAACAACTGAGAAGGCATGTGTCAGGAATAAAAAAATCTTGTATTTTTAATTGACAGGGAAACATCCTTCAGGACAACGGTTGGTCATCACACAATGATCAGCAACGATACAATGTAGAGAGTCCGACTGTGTGTGTCGAGCCTTTAAACACCTCCCCTGTCCCCCTCCCTTCTAATGGAGAGCTTATTATTGCAGACACGTTGGCACTCCTGACAGACAGAACACACCTCCTCCCCTCCTTTGTAAGGCTTGGGGGGGTTTGGGGGGTGGGGGGTTGCCCGGGTCAATCACTGAAGGGTTTTTTAAAAAAGAAAAGAAAACAAGAAAAGAAAAGAAAAAAAAACCACAAGGCTTCTGATTTGTCAAAGTCATGTTCTGTCACAGTTTGAACCCTCTGAAGTCTGCATGTCAAACCAGAAAAACACAACTTATTACTACTATCCTTATCTGTCAGTTACAGAGCATCAGGGCTGAGGCTACTCCTACTTAAAATATACATCAGTTAATTAGTTTCACCATCACCAGAGTTCTATATGTTTAGAGTACCATGAGTAAAAGTGAAAAAAGGTTCACCTCAACATTAAATAACATCGGTTCTGAGCAAAATAGAACCAACTTCAGTTTCCTTTTCTCTCTAAAAAACTGTATAAAGAGGAGCTCAGTCCTCATACAGCAAATAACCACCCAATATTGCATTGGACAATAAAGAAAAGGGTCATTTAATCAGTATGTATCAGATACCAATTAATCAGAGCCCAGTGCAATTAGGTAGTCAGTCTACAAATGGAAACATCTGAAAATGCAAATATCAAAATCTCTAAAACATCCAGATGAGTCTTTCCCAAAAGTTTTTTTTTTCTTAAATCAGAACATGCAATAGTCAAAACTGTTTTTCCTCGAAAACAGGATTTAAATACTGAGATCCAAAGATCTGTAAGAACAATTATGCAGTCACTCTACCAAACTTTGTGGATTAATATGGCAATATGCTGTAGATCAGTGTGGTCTGCACTAAGTCAAGTAAGAGTGAGGCAGAGAGAGGCCGTCTTCCGACAACTGAAAACTTCCCATTAGTGACAGCCTGTGCAGGAAGGGGAGATGGTAACAGGGCAAAGAAGTTGCACAATGACAGTGTGTTTGAGCACAATACTGCATTCAAATGAAAACACAGACTGTGCCACAAACAGAAGGGAGGACAACATATCAGAATCCAACATCAGCTGTGCTTCTGTGTGTCAGAACTGGAAGAAGAGGACTATCAAAAGATGAACGGACGGCGTTCATCGTCAGCAGCATTTTCAAACCCCCGTTTCATTGTCCGAGAGCTTTTCATTCTGTCTGTCAGACTTTGACAACCAATCACAGGCAAAGTGATGCAAACATAGTTTCTTACTTTTCTTTACACTTTGTCTCACAATTTTCCCCCTACATGCATACTGCCTTCAAGACATAAAACATGTACATTGACTTGATGATCTGTGGACCTGCTTTTATCGCTGTCTTTGTGTCAATAGTTTCTGCAGGCATGGGCACGCCCAATTATGCAATTTCTAATAATATATCCCCCACTTTTTTATCCACGTTTTAAGAAAAATCTATTGGCTTTTGTTTATTCCCTATGAAACCAGATGAACACTGTTTTAGCTATTTTTTGCAATCAACATAAAAGTTTGTCGTCCTGATAATCGATCACAAAAATGTACATTTTGTTTGGCAACTCCTATCAAATTGATAAAAGTTTAAATTTTAATTTACCGTGTCATAGCACACTAGTCTACTTCATCAGAAAATATAAAGACGCTGTCCCAGCCAGCTACCTCTAAAATATGTTTAAGATGCTTTTTGTGTACCTGTGCCAAACCAGACAATGTATAACGTAGAATAAATTGTATATTGTGCTGAGTTGGAGTAAAGGTATGGCTTGGTAGGAAAACATTCATCCACTGGAAGGAAAATGCTCATCCTTCTTCATCATTCACACCTCAGGAGGTTTCATGAACAGGGGTTTCAGCTAACACATATGCAGGTAGCTAACAAATACAGTGTGTTGTCTCACGCTGATCTGACGCCGTTGGTTAAAATTAGATCAACAGGTGATAAATAAGTCCTCTGCAGAAACATGGGTCTCTCTTCATGATAGGAACGCCTGAGCTTTTAGAGAAATCTACACTATAGCACTGCTTTTATCCACACCATGCCACACTCAGGGGGCAGCTAGCTAAAGTAGCATGAAGACTACATAGAAATACTCTCAATCCTCGTATAAAAATGGGTTTATATCATCTATATTATAGTTCTACAGTATGTACGAAAACAAGAATGTGGTAGTGTTATGTAGTGTGGATGTAACTATAGTTTTCACAAGTATATATTATTATTGCACTCTGGCTACACATATTTAGTAAGTTAGTTTGGTTGTCTTTAGATGCACAGAACACAAAGTGGTGTCAGAGCTTGAAAAGAAGTGGAGCTCAGTGATGGCTTTTTTATTTTATTTTATCCTGCTCTCTTGGTATTTTATCCCAAAGTAAGCAGCCAAGCACGATAGCTCGCAAGCTAGTCAGCTGGTTTGCTGGCTAGCTAGCTATCTTGGTTGGCTGGCTTGCTACAAGTTAGAAGGCTATCTTGGTTGCAAGTTTTTATTTTACGATTTATTTGGACAATTCTATATAAATTGGAGGATATTAGCTTTTTTTTTGCGTCACATTTAAACTTCTTTTCTAAAGGAAAAGAAAATGTAGGTTCTTCTGTATTAAATAGCCATTCGATAGCCACATTGTGATTCGAAATTTGTGGACAGACAACACTTCAGCTTGTAGTCTGTATTAATATAAAGGATGAATTTGGTTGGAATCACTGAGCCCACCTTTCCAGACTTTTTTTTTTAGACTACAAATACATTAAAATCTGAGCCGAAGCAACACAAACACATCACACCCCTGTTCTCGTCCTTCTCTTTTTCAAAATAGAAAAATACTATTCCCATGCTTCAACCTCAGCTAGCCTGTCAAGAGGAGAGGGTTGATCTCCTCCATCGCTCTCTCTCTGTTCTGAAAAGAAACATACATTCACAAGAGGACAACAGAGGAAAAACAAGCAACTTGAAATTCAAATTTGTGTGCAAAAACATTTTAGATATCTATAAAAATATGTGCATATGGATAGAGCTATTTTTAATCTCACCAAATACAGTATTTTCCTTTATTTACACTGCACAGATACACAGATAAACATACACTACAGCTCTGCTCCCCCTCTCTGTTGTCACAGGCGTAAGAATAACATGGCCGACTTCCATGACAACAGAATTGACGATACTCGCACATAGGAAAGAAAACGCAGACACGCTCACTCACACGCACACATTTCTGCTCGGATCAATGTGATCGAGGAGCAGAGGAGGGGGCAAGCAGAACTTCTGTAGAAAACCTGAAGTTGCATATCCCACAATTCCACCCCCCGCGCTCACATTTCACAAACTGCTTCCTGTAAAAGGTCAGCGGTTATCAGCCAGACGCTGCTTCCTGATTGGCTCGCGCGGGGTGGGACAGTGTGTCAAAAAAACTTTGGCTACGGAGTTAGGTGGCTTTAGTCCTGGTGCGTAATTAGTCCAAGTCTGGAACACACCATGTACAGTGGGTACAGCCTCTGTGGATCTTCTGTCCTTCACGCTGGGTTCAGTAAGAGGACCAACTGTCTTTTTTTTTCAAAGTGGGGACTGTACCAGCGGAAAGGGTTATAAATGTCTTTTCAATATTTATCTTTAAAAATCCCTCTTCAAGTAAACCTCTTATTCTGTTTTTTTTCTCCCCTCATTCTCTCTGCTAAGGTAAGCCAAGGCCCCTCTACTGCAATTCCAGAGACTTTGGCCCAAATAATTCTCCTGAAGGCATTTTAGACGTTTACTGGGCGGTCCTCCGATTCTTTGCACTGAATCCTGCCCCACTTCCCAGTCTGCTGTCGAAAGGGGAAGAGCATGTGGCTGTCTCAGCGTCTGATAGGCCGGCTGACAGGCCGCTCATGTATCTGGACTGTGGTTGGTCGAAGGTGAACTGTGGGAGGGGGATGCTGTCGCCTGTGAGAGGGGAACGTCTCGCTGCCGGGGAGAGCGAGCGAGGCGGAGGGAAAGGCATCGTGTTTGGAAGGAGAGGTGCGTGAGGCTGGATGAAGATGTTGGGGCTGATGGGGATGTGTCGGTGTGTTGGTGTGGATGCGTGAGTGTGTGCTGGAGAGGAGGGTGTCATTGTGTGTGTCGGTGAGTGTGTCTGAAGCGGCACGTGAATGGGTGTGAGCGGCGTGTGCATTGGGGAGTGCGTTGGAGAGACGTCCTGTGAGTTTGCGTGTGTGTGTGGTGTTAAATCATACGATGGCGTCCTGCGTCTCAGCATCATGCTGCAGTCCACCAGTTTTGGGGGTGAGGCAACTTGTGGTTGCTCCCTCTCTGAGGGCGGGTGGATGGAGATACATGGTGGACTCATCTTCTTCTTTCTGTGGCCGCCCCCAACAGACTGCACCCTCACAGGAAATGCCTGACTGCCTTTTTCTGACCGATGTGTAAAGTTCTGGTCCTCACCAGGATTAAGAACCTGCGGGAGGCAGACCTCGATAGAGTGGCGCCTCTGGTCGTCAGGGAAACCAACAGACAGTGATAACGGCTTTTCCAGGAAGCCCTGGTTGTCGACACTTAAACCTTTCCTAAAGTCACGGTCCTTCAATCCCAACCCCAGCAGACTGAGTGCGCTCCTCGAGGAGGAAGGAGGTAGCGGGGGAGGAGGAGGAAAGGAGGTGGAGTCTTGGGAGTGTGTGATGGTGTAAGGAGAGAGGGAGTGGCTTCGTCCACTTTTTCCTCTGCTCTCCTGCCCTACCTCTCCCTCATCTCTCCACCTGTGGCGGGCTGAGCTGGTGATGTGGTACACCTCCTCGTCCGCCGGGTCGCAGAATGAGGCCGCAGAGGGCGGTCTGGGTCTCCTGAGGCTCGGAGGGCGCAGGGGGAGGCGAGGGGAGGGAGGCGGAGGGAGAAGAAGCGAGGGAGAAGATGGCGGGGGAGGCAGAGGAGAGGGAGCGGGGATGGGAAAGGGAGAGGGGCAACAGGGTGGGAGAGAGAGGGCTGATGGAGAGGAGGGAGGAGGTGGAGGAAGAGGGGATGGGGAGGAGGTGTGAGGAGAGAGAGGAGAAGGGGAGAGAGGAGGCAGATGGATGGGGTTGGGCCTTTCTCGTTGCTCACAACCCTGAGACTCCACAGAATCCACTTTGAGGGCCACCTGCAGCAGATAACACAAACAGCCATCACACTTTGATCCATAAACCTGAATGGGTGGGGGTTGTGTTTGTCTACGGGGTCTCTTACCTGTCTGCGCAGGGGCTTTGGGGAGGGGTTTGGTGTGGGCGGGGCAATGCGGGGAAGGCTGACGGTTGGAGAGGAACGAGGGTGAACCGGAGAGACGTCTGGTACTTGCAGCAGTGCGCGCCTCTCACATGGCTGGGAATGGACGGAAGTCACTGAACCTGAAAGAATAAAACATTCAAATCAAACACTCCATACATGTTCACAGTCTTTATGCAGATACATGCATGTTTGCAGAAATTACGTGCATATTCTAGCATACAAACATGTACACATTGAAGCCGTAAAACTTCAAATGAAAGCCAATCCCAATTAAACTCTACTAAGCCCAGTGTATTAGTTAAGTGTGTAAGCACTAATATGAGCCAGTCTCAACTAAACACCTGTATGAAACCAGATTAGAACTTGTTTTTCTTAAATCATAGACTGTATGAAACATGATGTCACCCATTGGTTAATGTAGAAGTGTTTTGAGGCCCAACAATAGTGGCCGCCTTAATGGAATTGCTGACTCAACTGAACGATTTATCAATCTAGAAACTGACAGAGAGGCGGAGCTATATAAACTGCTACAACGCACCTGACTATCAGTCAATTCGGCCACGCCCCTAGTTATGTGAATAATTCTTAGACTTATTAACGTTGACACAGATGAGGAAAAAACTCAACCCCTGTACAGGGCGTACTAATAAAGAATTGCTATTGATACCAAATGCTTTGTTATAACATATTTATATATGCTATAAACATATAAACATTTTAATATGGGACCTAATGAAGAATCCCTGGCTTATGCAGCTATTCTCAAGTGGACACTTCTGCGCTCGCTCCAGAGGTTATTGATTAGTTGGAATAGAAGCCCTGTCTCACAGCGAGATCAAAGACTCTTTTTTTATATTTTTATTATGGTTTATCGGTAGCCTAAATTTGTATACAGGTCATTATTATTATGGGTTTTAAATCAACAATTTTATATGTTTTCCCATCTTTGCTGTAAAAGAGTTTTGTTCAAAAATAATTGAGTACGGATCCCAGTTCCAAATAAAAGCATGGTCATTGAATAGACTTGGTTTTTAATTGAAGTTTGACGGTATGCCCTTTGACTTCAGGATCATTTTAAAATAAAAGATTCAAGCTTTGAACAAGTACAATATTGTCAACACTTGATTTTGAGAGAATATTTGGATTTGAGCAACAAGAAACATTTTTGAATTAAAGGTTTATCAATTCAAAATTGGTTCAAATTTTCTATCAAAATAAAGTGTTATACAAAGACGTTGTCATGTTAGCCCAGTTTGCTGGATGTAGTATTCTGCATTAGATCCTGGTCACTTTAACAGCTCCATGTGATATTAAATATCATGGTGATCAAATCTTAAGTGAAAACTCTTAAGGGATGTTACATGTGAGCTGTGTGTAACCAGTGTCTTATGCATTCTGCACCCACAGGTCCACTGCACCCGTGAGTTCAGATGTAATCAACGTAGAAGAAGTTAAAACATTTCAGATAGTCAGAGTAAGATCAGAAAAGAGCATTTTGGGAGTTTCAAGCCAAGCTGTAAAGTCACGTTATTGTGAATCTACTACTTTAAGTTGCATAAAGTGAACAACAGACAAAGCACCACAACTGTGGTGACATTTTATTTTTTTAGTTTTCTGACTTTGCAGCTTGTCTGTGAGGTCATTCTTCGTCAAGTATTCAGCCATTCCACAGCTGAGCAGATGAGCCTGTGTGAAGGTTTGCAGAAGTTCACGAGAATCAGCTCATCCACTACAGTCAGTCAGTACCTTCGGACAGAGCTGGGCCTGTCCACAGCCTGGCCACAACATGCCATTAGAGTCTGACTGCAGATGAAACAGTGCCTGTCAGTGTTTAGAATAGTGTTCTCAGAATGCTTTCATATGTATGAGTGACAGGTTAGTTTAGGTTGTATAAAAAGTTTCTGAAAGGTTCAATGGTTAAGTCCAAACTCTACATCATCACTACATCATCATGGGTACAGAAGAACGTTCTAAACAAATATGCAACCTGTCCTTTCTTATTCTTTCTGAAAAAGGAAGACAGATTCTTCTGGTTTCTACTTAGTTCTCCTGACGCCGACCCCACAATAGTGTTTTTATGGGGCACAAATAGTCTAGCGGTTATGACACGCCCCCCCTGTAAGGAGGCAATAGTCCAATAGTACCGTGGGTACAAATCCGACGTCAGCCCTTTGCATCATGTCATCCCACACGCTCTACTCCCAACATTCCCTGTTTCTCCTCAGCTGTCGTAGTTATGGCGGTGGGTCCGCAACAGTGAAATCGTAACTCTCCTGGTAGCTTTTGAGCTCTAAACAGTGTTCCAGGGACCCATTTCTTTCTTTGAGTAAAGTTTGAGTATTGAGTTCAGAAAATATAACATCGAATTGTTTCACTTCTCCCACAACCAAATCTCCATAGTGCATCTTTAAAATTACTATATGGACATAAAATCTTGTCATTTATAGCTTCCTTTTCCCTTGCAGGTCATATAAAGGTGTGAATACTACATTCAGCAACTAAAACTCCTCACAGGTGAACCTGTCAATTTTCCAGAGCCTGTTTGTTCATCTGATTCTCTGCTGGAGCTCAAATCTGTTTCCTCTTTTAGACTGTTGCTTAGGTTTTAAGCTACAAGGCTAATTAATCTAAATCTTGTGAAAATAGAGATATGTTGAACAATGACAGCTCCCATGACGCTTGACACTTTGCAAATTGCAAAGGCCTGTTCCGTGCAGCAGGGCTAAACGCAGCCTGATGGTCACTGAGGCCAGGAGAACATGCTGTTGTAGCGCAAAAGAAAAACTAGAGAATACTAGGCCTAAATAGATTTTCTGTGACTGTAAAAGTAATATGTGGATAGTCATGTTGACAAAAAAAACAAGAAAAATCACACCTGTCTGTTTCATTATGGTTCAATGTTAAACTTGGGACAGATTGGTCGGTGTCTGCACCTGACAGATGACTTGCATATTGATTATTGTGGGTAACAACAGCTGATTTTATACACTGGGAAAACAGACAGAACAGTAGTTTTGAGTCCCAAAGGTGTAAAAGTTTGCAATGGTCAATAAATTCAGATCTAAAACGTCAAGCACGTTAACACACTTTTGCCTTAAGGAAGCTTATTAGAAGATGAGATGCTGTCCTTACAATAAAATATCTGATCTCCTGTCTGGTATCTAAATCCTGAACAGACCTGAATGCTGGTGCTGGGGACTGAGCTCTATCTCCTCCAATGGGTAGGGGGCGCTGGCGGGCCGCACGGGTCGGAACATGTAGCTGTCGTTAGGCAGAGAGTGCATCCTGGATACTGACATCTTCCTCGGTGACAGCAGTTCCTGGTCGCCGTACTGCCCCTCTTCCTCCTGCAGGGGGAGACAGAGACCAGAAAGCTCCAACACTGACTCAGTAACACAGACTGTAACTCATACTGGATTCAATTCATTAATTACCAGTAAGGACATATTCAGAGACCCTACTTCTTAGATTTACACCCCTCATTGAGTGACAGGTGAGGTCATGTCTTTCCTACCTCTCCAGGTGAATTTGGACATGGCCCAACATAGGTCCCTTCTGCTGAGCTGTTGTTGGAGGTTGTGCTTAATTTGCGCTCTCTCTCCATGGCCATTTCCAAGGCGATCTCTGCGTCCATTTCTGCATCTTCTTTCGCCTCCTGCAAAGAAAAAAATGTGTCACACTTAATGATAGCCACAAAAAATACCAATTTGTTTCCAAAGATATAAAAAATATGAGAAAATAATCACAGAACGGTGTCCTCAAACTGTTGCAGCAGATTTCTGCTTGTGAGCGTTTTCTCGGTCTTATCTTTTCTAGTTACTGTACCTTGTTGCTCTCCTCCAGATGTTTCATCAAAACAGCCACCACCACGTTGACCAGCACAAACTGGGCCATGAGCACAAATGTGACAAAGTAAATGGGAGAGAAGAGGGGAAGGTAGGGGAGACAGAAGCGGTCCTCGTGATGACACTCCCTTAATGTGTCCTGAAAAGACACAGAGAAAAGAGAAAGATTGAGAAAGAAAGACAGAATGAGTGGGGGGGGAGAGAGAGAGAGAGTGAGAGAGAGAGAGAGAGAGTGAGAGAGAAACAGAGAGTGCAGCATTGGTTATTACAGCTAGATATTTCTAATCAAAGCGCTGTCTGTCAAACACCAGAGGCCAGTTCAAAGAGCTTTGAAATTTGAACTGTTGAGAAACTTGGTGTTGTGGTAATATGAAATGTATTTTAAATTATTAGAAATTAGAAATGAGGAAAAAATAAACAAGGAGAAGCAAATTGCCTGTATGTGCACGCAGCCCCACTCCACAGGTGCTCCCAGTAGTTTTTTTTCCCAAAGAGGCGTTATTGGAGCGGCTGTGACCTGTTTCTGTGTGATCGGGCCCTAAGACCCTTGGCTGACTGTTGTTGACATCCCCATGTATGCAAATGATTTAATATTATTATTGATGTTTGACACAAAAAAAGGGCCTTACTAGAAAAGAAAATTCATTAATATGATCATGATAACACTTGTTATTTGTTATAAATGAAGTCATTAACGATGAATTTATCAAACATTGTTAAAAAAAAAAAAAAAAAAGGAAAGAGATGTGAAAAATGTTGTTAGGCTCAGATAAGCCACTTCATTATTTCATGATTGGTTTTGGAGGTCATCGCTCTTGCCGTGGTTATGAGATGATGGTGTGTGTGTGTGTGTGTGTGTGTGTGTGTGTGTGTGTGTGAGTGGGCGCTTGTTTCTATGATAAATGAGGACAATTTAGTAGTGACACACCAATAATATCAGGACTGAAAAATGAGGGCATTTTTCGGTGCTCTCATTGTGGACATGAAATGCGTGTGTCCATACCTTCATAATTCCGTTCCAGTTGTCTCCGGTGGACACTCGAAACAGTGTGAGGAAAGCCATCCCGAAGTTCTCAAAGGTGGCGTGACGGCTCAGACCCTCACATGGGTTGTTGTTATTGCAAACTGATCAAAACACAAACACAGGCAGACATTCATTTCACTAAACACATGGTGATTAAATATCCACAATAACAGGGATGAATGAAGTCCTAAATAAACCACACACATCTCTATGAAAGCAGTGTGCAGTGAATGAACACAGGATGTCTCTGTAGACATGACAGAGCAGAAGAGAGGAGATGACTGTCTTCTGGAGGAAAGGAGGCGGGGGGGGCTCTATCAGTCTCAGGGTCAATTTGACAGAAAGCCCTCAGGAGCCAGTTAACAGAATCATAAGAGCCACCAGAAGATATCCTCCTCCGCTTGGAAGCTCAGGTCACATTAGCAGGAAGCTGGAGAGGAACGAGACGGTCCTCAGAGCATCATGTATCCTGCTTTCTTATATTCAGGATCAACCATGCAGAGAAAAAATACGAGGTTGTAGCTCAGAGAAGGCAAAAAGGGACAACTTAGAGGAATAATGAATGAAAGCACACTTGAAACAAGACTTTAGGACACAAACTTCAGCAGTTCCAGTCTGAGTCGTGAACCAGCAGTTCAGTCATTTCATGTAGATTCAGATACAACTCTAAACTTACTACGCACGCTATGTGCTAATAAATACCAGGTTAAATCAAAGTTGTGAGTTTTAGAAATTCAAGCCCTGAGTCCATCCTCCTTCAACATTTCCCTGGTCTTTGACCTTTTCTTTTCTTTGTCCCACAGACTGTGCTGCGGACACCACAGTCACACATTTCAGCTTCGCAGACAGAATCAGGTCATATAATGTCTCTGTTCTTTTTCTGAGAGCAGAGAGATTTCAGCCAATTAAACCAGTAATGGCTGGGCAGTTTTTCCACAGTTCTGTGTGGAGTTCAAGCAGGGACAGTTTTGTTTTAATAAATCCCAGTACTGAATTGTACACAGAAGAAATCCTCCTAACAAGCTGGGTGGAGGTCTTTGCTAGTTCATATATGCTTGTGTTTGTTATCATGCATTTGTATTATTGTGTATTCAGGGCTTGTGTCTACTTTTTACACTGACAGCGCCCACTGCCTCAATTTCAAAGCTTTTTTCCCCCCGGCACTGACTGTTGCTAGGTTACAAAAGTTGTCCCCTGGCACTTGTACTTCCCTTGATAGTGACCGTTAAGTCTGGTTGTATTCGCACTGTATGCAGAATATTTGCTTTTATTCAAGGATGGAATAGAAAGTGTTCTGGCATTAGCAGCAGCTCTGGACCTGGAAATTGGACCCTTAAAAAAGAAAAACGAGTCTTCATGCATGAAATGAATCGTGAGAGGTCAAGGATTCATTTCTCCTCCCCCCTCTTCTTCTTGATTTTGATTGGTCGTTAGGGAGAGGGGACATTGATTAGTGCAGGTGTGTGCCAAATTTGATCTATTGTCATCTGATGCTCTGTGAGTGACAGCTGATGGCAGGGCAAATTCTGCATTCATGAAATTGAATAGAATATTGAATATATTTCTATACATTTTCTTCCTTCTCAGTACAAAAATCTAATTTGTATGTTGCCATGAATTTCCCATTAGCGCTTTATTCACCCTTTTTGTTTGCCTTATATAACTAAACCAAATCAATGATAAATAGAGGAGACCTGACACATGATTTAGAAAGGATGACTGGGTAAACATTCATGTAACACAACATAGCAGCCTCTGACTTGACTGAAGTTATAATAATAGTTTCCAAACCCTCCCAGAGCTGTGCTGCTCTATTTCCCTCAAACTTCTCAACAAGCCTGTGTCCAAATATAATTCACTCCTTCAGCTCTTTGTTATCCCTAAAAACAGCATTTAAAGTGTAGAACCACCAGGGACAAGAAGGCGTTCAGACATCAAAAGGCTTCTGTCAGCAGCTTGGGAAAAGCAAAAATTAGAGCATAAAAATGGAGACGGGTTTTTACTTGACAAAAACTAGAAAACAGACACCCCTTCGTTTTCCCGATGTGTAGAGAAGAAGCACAATTATACATCGCAGGAAGCAACCTCCTCATCACCGAGTTGTTTTTATTTTGTCCTCGCAAGATGCCTTTTTTTTGTTGTTGCTAATCCTCTTCCTTGCACACATTGTTGCACTCGCAGAGAAAATGAATTGGATGGAGTTAGCCTATTTAGGACTCGGTATGTAAATAAACGTGATCATGCAAATGTGATCTTCTCTTTGTGAAAACAAGCCTGTGATGTGAGAGTGTTGGAGAAGAGAAGAGACAGGGAGACAGATGGGTAGAGAGAGAGGGAGGATTGAGCAAAGACGGTTCGGGGTGGGGGTGGGGGGGGGGATGTTTTGTTAGTCGTGACTGTGCTGGTAACGAGCTGATTCCAAAACCCTTTTTTTAAATTTTTGCTGAGGTTCGTAGACTGCAGTGCATGTGTGTTTGTGTTTTTCAGCCGGTAGTGTGACTGACCCAGTTTGCCAAAAAGCTCCACTCCCAGAGCAGCATAGATGAAGAAGAGCAGCATGAAGAGGAGGCCAAGATTCCCAACCTGGAAGTAAACGGCATGTTAGATCCTCCTCCGCACACCAGACACTACAGTGAAAATGTTGCTCATGTAGAGCTGCAGGGAATGAAAGACTTTTACATTTATTTCTATGCATGATACACAAATAAACTATTTTAAAAACAGGTACTGATGGGCTGAAGGAGCGTTAGCATGAATTCTTCATGAGGAAACACAGGAGGTTAAAATGTTAAAATGCAACTGAGAAATTTTCTTCTTCGGAATACCAGAAAGTAGAGCTTTCTCTTTGCATCACTTAAAGGAGAATTATATATTTTTCAACCTGTTTATATGTAACTGTGTGTAAATGGGGATTATGTTCAAACCGTTTTGCAGTTGTTCCATTGGTCTTCTTAAGATAGCCCTCACAACATAGCTGTAATTGCTTCCATGTAATCCATTGGGGCAATCACATTTCAAAAACGGTTTCTCTACACAGCCTCCAAACTCTTACATTTGGACCGTCCTCTTTCTGCAAGTCTCCTCCTTGTGACATTTCAGAGCAAGACCTCCCCCTTGACTAGGAGTTTAATTTAGTGCTAACCGCCATAGGGATCCTTTTCATTAGTTGTCAGACACTTAGATTAACAATCTGAGCCTATCAATTGCAAAAACAAGCACTTAAGTGGACTTGACCCACTCGTCTATGATTGCACCAAAGGCCCATACTGCACCATCTGAATTCCTTTTTTTGTCCCACCAACTACAACTTTGTAAGGATTTTTTAGACATTAACTGAATACAGCTTCATGAAAATGTCTTAACTTAGTTCTAAACTTAGGTTTTTACAAAGGCAGACATGCTTTAAAGACTTTCAACCTTGGCTGAGAAGGTGACAGCAACTTTCTACTCGATATACTAACAGATCTACTTTTGAAGTTAATGGGAAATGGACTTGAGCTTGTATAGCGCTTTTCTAGCCACAGAGTTGGGACCTTATAAAACAGTTGTAAAGTATTTTTTGGGCCAACCCTGTGAGCTGTATAAACTCTCTGTTGTCTTTTTATGCTGTTCCTGAAAATCTTTTCATGTGCACTCTGTGCCCTGACGGGTATATCTGCACACTTGACATTTGGAGAATGGTAGAACAGAGGAGTCTGTCACCACACGTGCAGCACAGTCCCTGGTGCAACTGCTCTTTTTGCCTTCAGGATCTGTGGCAGGCAGCAAGACAAAGAGACCTGAGATACTCCCGTAACACATGAGGACACACTTCAAAAGGAGAGTGTCATCTGCATACAAAGAAAGTCCATTACCATTTAATACTTTATCTTTCATTTTTGAAATATTCAACCACTAAACTAACACTATTGGTGGGTTTTCCAGAGCTTTTAGATTATTGATACACCTTAGAATGTTAAAACCATGTTCAATAAATATAAATAATGATGCTCTAGGCATCTTTTGTCATGCATGTTTAACAAAAACACCAAGTGAAGCAACAGCGGAGAAGTAGGAGAGGGAATGTACGAGATGTTTTTTAGGGTCTGAACATTAATTTTGTAATGTGAAGAGATATGACTTGACTGAAATATTAATAAGCAAGCATTATTTAGAGAGCTGTCTATCCTGCACAGAGCTTTCATAATAACTTTGTATTCATTCAAAGACGAGACATCATGAATAAAACAAAAAGAAGAAATCACTCATCAGGGAGTCTGGGTTTTACCTGTGGCAGCGCTTGCATGACAGTATCCAGCAGAGCTCTCATCCCTGTGGCCATCTTCAGGAGTTTGAGCACTGCAGACGGAAACCAGAACAGATCTTTGAGTAACTGGCTGCTGCTGGTTTTTGTCGGTCTAATGGGTGCAGGATTTACAATGGCATGCTATGAAAACACGGTCTAATGCTGACTATATTTATTCCTTAAAGAACGGGTTTATATAACCTAACCTAAAAATTACAACATACATTTAAAAAGGCAGCAAAACAAAAATCAGACAGGACTTAAAATGATAAGGTTTAAAAAGAAAATAGATATCAATACAGTGAAAAAATTAGCAAGCAAATAAAGAAACAAAATATGATCAAAGTAAAGTAAAAAATCAGTAATAGGCTCTTGCATAAAGTATATGAATAGAGGAACTTGAAGTTGAGTGATTACTTTGTGACTACTTACTTTTAATGCTTTTAAATCACTTAAATTATCAGTCAAGAATGTTGTGATGATAAGTTTTAAAGGTGCACTATGGAGTTTTGGTAGAGAAATGTGAAAGTTGGAGAAGTCTACAGATTCTGTCGTATATGTTCATAACTCTATACACAAACTGTCCTCAGAGGGAAATTTGGTCCCTGTAACACTGTTTGAAGATAAAATGTGACGCGAGAAGTTGTGGTGGGGGATCCGCAACAGTGAAACCGTAACTCTCCTGGTGGCTTCTACACTCCAAACAGTGTTCCCGGGTTTGTGTTTTCAGTTCAGAAAATATAGCATAGAATTGTTTCACTTCTCCAACTTTTACATTTCAATATCAAATATCCATAGTGCACCTTTAATGTAAAAATGTCATCCTTTTTTCAGATGTAATATGTCTGTGATTTGTGTCTGATTGATGTGCTGACTCATGAAACGGACACAATGACTCACTGTATGTCCTGTAAGTCTACAAAAGGCAAATATGTATAGACTGTGTAGGTGTGTGTGTTTTTACCTCGTGCTATTCTTAGGACTCTCATGATTCTGATGATGGTGGGATTTATAGGCAGGGCTGCACTCATTTTGAGCTCCTCCAGAGTAATACCCATGATGGACAGCGCCACTATAGCTATATCCAGCTGATTCCACCTGAACACAAACATCAATGTTGTTCAGTTTAGGTTCTTACCGTGCATTTTTTTTTTTACATATATTGTAATCTTATTTATTACGAACACAGTCAATAAATTACCAGTATCACATGCTGCAGCATTAATGTGTGACGCCCACAATTCCATCCTGCTGTATTACCTGTCTTTGAAGAACCTGTGGATGCCGAATGCTGCGAGTTTGAGAAGAGTCTCAAAGACGAAAATGCAGGTGAACACATAGTTGCAGTACTTCAGGACCTCCTCTAAATACTGAACACAAACACACAGAGTTGTGTCACAACAAACGTATTCATTTCCTGTGGCAAGACCCAACAATTAATTATAATACAGTCATGATATAAGTGAGGAAATATAATCCCAGCATTTAAAATCCTTTGCCAATACCTTGACAAAGGTTCAGAGGGACCGAAATGTTGTGATTTTTTCGAATAAATTTGTGATATTTAGCAAGAGCAGTGTGCAGGATTTTTTCTCCACATGTGTTAGTTTTGGGGAGAGTGACATGGCTGGTTAGCTAGCTAATCACGGTTTTTCAACACACTAATTATACTTTCATTATGTCAACTGTGCGCTGTGTTACTGATTTTATAATTCTGGCATGCAGTTAGCTTTCCGGCTAAAAGCTGAGCCAAAATGTTCTTCAAACTGCATTGTGCTGGTGTAATAGATTGTCGTCCTGTGCATCTACTTCAGAAGATCCTTACTCCTTACAAACTCTCCCCAAAATGAACATTTTCTCTGATGAATAACACACAGTGTTTGTTGTGTGTTTTCAAATCTTTATCTTGGTTTTAACTAGAAAGCCTGAACCATGCCAGAGGTTCTGTTCTAACTATAATGATTATGTTTGTGTTTGTGGACTTTACCTCGGGTTGATTGTAGTGCTCAATGCTCATGGTTAAGACATTGATGCAGATGATGAAGGTGATGAAGAGGTCCAGGTAGTGGCTGGTACACAGTGTGTGGATGGTCAGGCGGACGGGGGAGTAGTCGGCGTAGTAAGGCCTCTGCTTGGCCTCTGCAGCACACAGACAGACACACAAACAAATGTAGAGACGACAAAGGGAGAGACAAATATCAAAAGAGACAGACAGACAGACAAACAGACAGACAGACAGACAGACAGACAGACAGACAGTGAGTCACGGTGCTTTAAATTTGAAATACCAGGGGCATGAACACAGTGGTGTGCACAGGAAGGGTTGGGGGCTAAGGAAGAGCACCAACAATCCTCCTTTTTTCTCAGGCTGCAGAAGTTTGACTTTATCTTAATAAGATACAGTATGCTTGTGCCTTAATGGGTCTCCATTATAATTGTCACATTAGAGGAGCCCTTAAGTAGCCTCGCAGACCGATTGGCATCTCAAGTGTGACTCTACTGTGCTCTAACTGTTAACCTGATCAGTGAGGTAGCCCCCCCTTTACCCCACAGTCAGACTGTGCACACCCCTGTCTGTGTGGTATGTTGAAATAAGACAGGACATGAGAGTCACAGGTTGGTTACCTAATTATTTCTTCAGATGTTCAGAAAGACTGAAGTTCAATAGTTCAAAGTGCGAGTCCCTTTTTTGTGCTATCCTGGATCAGTTTCTTTTTTTTAATTTTTTTTTTGCTGTGCTGGTTGGACTTTTGGAGATTTTTATGTCAAGAAAATACATCAAAATGAAGGTCTGCATAAAAATAGCAAATCACATTGCTGCCTACTAGCTCTTTAAAAACAACAGCCAGAGTCTGGGTAGACCTCTTAGGACCTCTAATGTGGATTAAAAACTCCTCGGAAGAAAATCGCCTACCGCCCTGGAGATGTTTTAGACATTAAAAATAACTATATATAGAAATGATGAATCTTGTCGTTGAATGTCTGGTTCACTTTTGTACATCGTAAAGATTCATCTGTATTCATTTCAGTCCGTTTCAGGCCCAGGTTAAAATGACTCATAGGAGCTTTAAATTATTTAACTGTAATCTGAAAGTTTTATCAGGATATAAACCCAAAAAGGTCTAATCCTTTCTTCTTTTTCTTAAACAAGCTGTTATCAATTTTTGATCCTATAAGATAGCTGCTATCTGATCAGACTAGTTTCATAAAAAATGGGCCCTGGTTTTGTACCTGGTCAATTATTTTAACCCTATTTTCTAGCTACGTGCCATCACTACTGGTTAACAGTGTGCATCTAAATCTACAAGTTTTTTAGTTGAGGCTTGGTACAGCAACATAACACAGTAAAATACAGTCTGGGAGTTGTTGCAATGGATTCTCCTTCCATTTGACGAAACAGATCCCTGACCTGACCTGCCCCTGAACTAAACCAACCGGAGTGCTTTCTAATGGGAGCTTCTTACAAGATTAGACTCATTCTGATTCCTGTCAGGGTAGAGAGGCCTCTACTGTTTATGCTGACCACACCGGGAAGAGTCATCTTCTTTAAAACTGAGGTTACAGACTTCACTTTTGTTAAGTGTGTTACTACTATGAGAAGCTTCACAGCCTGTGAATAATAAACAGTCTCTGAGTGCAGCTGTTATTCTGAACATATGTCACCCCTGTACATTTCAATAAACTGTGTACTCACATGTCCATATTTAATGATTATTGATCACATCTGTGTGCGTGCATGTTTGAGTCAACCCCTGCAGAGTACACCATGCCCTGTCTATCCACTGCATGCTGTCATGCCTGTGGTGTAATGTCTTTGGTTTAGAGGGGGCTGAGCAGGGAACGTTCAACATCACACATTTTGCACAAAAAGAATAACTTAAGTGTTTCTTATTAAGTAGACAGGTGCGCCACAACTTCCATGTTTTTGGAGTATGGGCTTTTTAAATTACTTCTATTCTAGTCTATTTGAACATATGTATTTATTTACCTTTTAAAAAAAATGTATCTACTTCTCTATGTACTGTGATGTTAAACGCACACTACAGCCACTCCTCTCTTGAATGACATCCCTACATGTATTTATAATGTATTCACATTCATCTCAGTAGTCTAAAACTTAATCTTTCCTTTTCTCTTCTTTGTTCCTTTTTTTTAATTGACAATGATAATGTCCAAACGTATATTTTTTAAAGCCGATTTTAAGAACATTTATCTTGACTTTTTGCAGTTTTAGACCAGTGAGACTTGATACAAACACAAGAAGAGAGCGGCGCTCTGTTCACACAATATACTGCCTTCTAGAAATGTCTTTTTCGTCTTTTCTCCAACTCAAAATAAGAATAAAAACACACTACAAAGAACAAGTCCTTGTAAGACACTTCTTGGTGATGACAGTGTTTGGACTTGTGTTTGCAATAAGGGTGTGCTTCTGATGTCACCGCCAGCACGGTTTGTAATTCTCTTCAGAGTTGCAACTGTCGTACTCAACACTTTCTAACAGCTTTAGTACTCAACATATTTGCAGGAATAGCAGCCAAAACGTCTGCTATGTTTCTGAGTCTGCCAGTCAAAGCATGTTGTAAAGGAAAAAGTCCTTCTTTGTCCACGTGTCGAGAGACGCCTCGGGCTCAGGGCTGCACATGCACTCAGGGAGGGACAGAGGGGACATTGGCATTTCACCAACCAGAATTTGTTTTTTGGAGCATCCTCCTCAATCAGCGTCACATGCAGGTAGGGGCTGCAAAGGTTTTCCTTTGTTACAATAATAAAAAAGCAAAAATATTATCTATTCTAATTGAGCTTTTAATGATATTTAAAAACAGTTGTTTTGCCGAATTAAATAGAAACTTCTGAAGACGTTATCGCAATTTGTTTTTTGTTTTTTTTACTGCTATTTAAAGAGTGAGTAAAACAAAGTTCAGACAGTTTTACACAAATGTTGTTTGGGTTGGCCAGTTTCTTTAGTTGTCCATGAAAGTAAGACGGGAATGGTTAAGGGAAGGAATGTTGCAATCATGCAGATGCATGCATAGACTGGCATAGCCCACGCCTTCTGTCAGTGATAAATCACTGTTTGTGTGAGCTAGCCAGTCTTTTAAACTCTCCCTTTCTTCTATTTTTACATCGAGAACAGATAATATAGCCCTGTTTTCTTTCTCTGTCATTCTCTTTCTCTCTTTTTCAGGCTCTGAAAGCAGGCAGTGCTCAGAAAAATAGACTACCGACCAGCCCCTCCATTCTCCTTACTCCTGCGCTTTTTCTCTATCATTTTGAGCCTCTTCTCTTCCCGTAGGCGGGCCTCCTCCTCTTCCTGGTCCTGCCGGCACTTGTGGAAGTTCTCCACCACGACGCCGACGAACATGTTGAGGACGAAGAAGCTGACGATGAGCAGGAAGGAGATGAAGTAGAGCAGCATCCAGGGGTTGTGGTTCCTCACAGGCTGAGAGGAAAAGAGAAGAGAGGGGGGGGGGAGCAGATTTAATTTTCAGTCGTTTTTGGTAAAGTGGGGTTCAGGTAAAAAGGGATTTAATACTTGTACTTTGTTCATGCAGGGAAGCGACCACAAATACCACACTGCCAGTTCAGAGCCTCACAGGTTGCCATGACAAACTGTCCTTGTGTACCCTTGGTTGAAAGATTTCTCTGTATGATATTACAAACACAAGTTTGCTTTGAAATGTGACTGCTGACTATTTCAGCACATTACACCACCGGCAGCCGTGAAGTCAGGTTATAAACTCCCCTTTTGATCCTTGTGTTTGTTAAGAACCTGTCATCACTTCACCCCTGCCATTAGACTTTTTTGTATATTTAATACATTGCAAAGCGTCACAGATCGAGCATTGACTGTCGCACACGCAGCTGAGTCTGATTGTGTTTTAGACAGTAACCGATACAAAGGTCCAAACTGTTTTAAAATGTTGGACTGGAAACCGGTCAGGCTTTACACAGCCTAAACAAGCCTTTAAAAACAATTTATACAGAATGACTCGGCATATTTCAAACATTATTACCTGTTGGTCCATTCCCACTGCGTCCAGACCATCATACATGATATTGACCCAGCCATCCTTACAGGACAGGACGAACAGAGACATCAGAGCCTGGAGGGGAAACAGGAATGTCAAAACACTTGGATTTCCAAAATAAAATAACATTGTTCCTAGTGGAGTCACGGATCCCAAATCCTGCGGTTCAGATTAGAGCACAGATTTTTATCATAGATCAGATTGACAAAAAAAAAAATACAGACACACATTTTTACACTCCTCAGCTCGACATGAGTCACTGTCTGTAGCTTTAATCTGTTTTTACTAGTTTTTTTTATAATATGCTTTAATTTTTCTTCATCCCTCCATTCATCCACACCTGGATCAGGTTGTCAAAGTTGTATTTCCTTCGTATCCAGCGGTAACTGGCCTGCAGACAGTCAGACTTGTTTGTGATGTTTCTGGTGTCCAGACCCTCACAGTGGTAAAACTTCCCTTTGAACAGCTGAAGAAGGAGAAACAGATGAAAGCTATTTTCCAGACACTCACACATTATCTGAATGGCACTGACGCTTTGAGCATGTTAAAGTCCAGTCTATTAATTCCAGAAATAAAAAGGAGCTTTCATAGAGCCCATCCTTATCAGAAGTTTTTTTTTTTTTTTCTTCGAGCTCGGCTAAAAGCCGGCCCGGGGTTCATGTTGTCCCTTTCACTCTTCACCTAATTGTCATTCAGACACAAAAGCCTTTTGTCCGTTTGATATTCAGGACACTTCCAATCACCCCTCAAGCCACAATCACATTCTGAGCTGCTCAACCAGACTGATATTTCTCTGCTGCAAAGGGGCAGAATACTTTTCTCATAATTCTTTGAGCTCAGAGAATGCAAACAACCGAGCACAGTGTGCTTTTGATCACGACCTAAGTACGTGTCTGTGTTGTGAAAGTTTGTGTCACCGTGTTTGAATGTAAAATTACCTGAACCCCCAGGATGCCAAAAACAATAAAGAAGGCGCAGCAGATAAGGACAATGTTCCCGATGGGCCTAAGAGAGGTGATGAGTGTCTCCACAACCAACTTCAAACCTGGGGCTCGACTGATCACCCTGATGACAAAAATAAAGACGTCAAGATGTTCATCAGTACCAGGATGAAAAAGCACTGGACATATTCACATGCTTGAAAACAGACATACAGTACATATGCGTCGACTCAAACCAACACAAACACAAGTGTACCTCAGTGGGCGTAGTGTTCGTAGGAGGCGGAGGACTCGGAGGATGCCCAGGATCCTGTTCTCGCCAGCGTTCGTCAGTGAGACCAGAATGTCCACCAGAGACACAAAGACCAACAAACCGTCGAGGACGTTCCAGCTGGACTGGAGGTAAGTCTGCTTCCCGAAGCAGAAACCGAGCGCTACAACCTGGTGAAACCAAAACAGATTGATGGAAGTATGAAAGCATTCTGCTAGCTGTGATTCAGAGCTCTAACTACGATGTTATTAATGGAAGCTCTAAGCTAATATCCATTCAGTATATTTACTCTTTTTCTCATGTGATACAGAGTGATTGATTTGTGTTTTACATTGGTTATCTATTGATAAAACTAAAGAGGGAGCTAAAGGTAAGCGGCACTGAAGAAGAAGACGAAGAAGAAGAAATACTTTATTAATCCCAAAGTGAAATTCAGTTTGGAGTCAAACACAAATTTCCCCATGGCAACAATAAAGTGTATCGCGTCGTATCGTATACCCTCCAGTATTGTATCGTATCCTAATGTATGGTATTGTAATGTAACATATCGTAGTTTATCATATTGTATTGTAATGTATGGTATCCTATCGTTATTTATCGTATTGTATCATATCTTGATTTATCATATTGTATCATATCGTATTGTATCAGATCATAACGTACAAGATTGGAATTTATCGTATTGTATTGAATCATAATGTATCATATTGTATTGTAATGTATGGTATCCTATCGTTATTTATCGTATTGTATCATATCTTGATTTATCATATTGTATCATATCGTATTGTATCAGATCATAATGTACAAGATTGGAATTTATCGTATTGTATTGAATCATATGGTCATGGTTATATCCAGTCATTTTCCTGAGATCTCAACTCATTATTTCTGGTATCCTACAGTTGCAAAATCTTAATAAAACAACCCTTTATGGTATCGTGGTAAAAACAGAGTAAATCAAATAATTGGATGCATGTCCACTTAGGGCTTCTGTAGTTATTGGGGTAGGATTTACATTAAAAAACACATCATCAGGAAAAAAGTACAGTGAGCGTACCTTGACGGCCATCTCTGCCAGGAATATCACAGTGAAAACGTTGTTGGACACATTCAGAAACACTCGCTCCTAAAGAAGTATTAGACATGAATATAGTGTTAGACATTATGTAAACACTACGTTACATATTCCTTTAGTACATTAGCTGCTCTATACAATCAGCCTGTTATTTTAACAGTTACAATTAGCACTAAATTACTCAATAAAGAAACAGTTAATCAGGGAATACTGCAAACATCTGGGGATAAATTCCTTACCAAGAAATGTCTTCACTAATGTGTTCATAAAGGTGTCTTATAACACATATAAAAAGAGCTGCTCAGAGTTGGGGTACCTGGAACCTTATTTGGGAAAAATTGAAAATGTTGACCTCTGCCTTAGGTAGCGTGTGAGGGGTCAAACTAAAGGGGTTTGTCAGGATTCTGAATTTACTGCAAGCATTTGTTTTGCACAAAATCCATCCCTTGTTGGAAAAACAAAAAAACAAGTCGCTTTATGATTACAGTTTCTCAAATACTAGTTAGAAAACAACACTTGGTAAGGAGTTTATTCCCAGATTGGCCAAATATCTGACTGACTAAGTAAAAGTAAGGAGTTAGGTAAAGTGGAAAAAAAAGCATTTTAAAATAATAATAAGGAATGGAATCAGCTTAAAGGCACAGACTGAAAAGACGCAGACATATTGTGCAGGCGTTCTGAGTGTGCTGCGTTGTCTGTGTGTTTGCCTTACAGTGCTGTCGGGCTTTATATCAGGTCTCTCCAGAGCAATGGTGATGCAGTTAAGGAAGATGAAAACCAGAACCACATGGTCGAACAATCTGTGAGAGATCACACTTTGGCACCACACCCGGAGTCTAAACAGACACACACACACACACACACACACACACACAGACACACACACACACACAGCCCACACACATAGACATAAACAGAGTTATCTATAAAGTCTCTATGGTGTGTTAAAGCTATTGACCGTACAATTAGCAGTGAGGGAGCAGTAAAAGTGGAAGCATATTTAGAGACATGGAGTAAGGAAGTTGTGTTATACTGGAAACATACAGACTGATATATGTGTTCTGATGTGTGTGTGTGTGTGTGTGTGTGTGTGTGTGTGTGTGTGTGTGTGTGTGTGTGTGTGTGTGTGTGTGTGTTTGCATGACACTCACAGGCTCTCCGGAGAGAACAAATACAGATTCCAGTCTTCGTGCTCTTTGCACCAGCGGGGCTTCAAGTTAAGGACCTTCGTTTTGATCCAGTAGCACAAAGAACTCTGCAGAAGGAGAAAGACAAGTGTCAAAACTATAAAACATGAAGGACAATTTCCCTGAAATGTATCACTGCATGACAGTTCATTTTTAACCGAAGCCTCGAGCATTATCATCATAATCCTAATCAGTCCTAGACCATGTCTTGGTCTTGGCTCGGTCCCAGAGCACTCTGGTTCTCGGCATGGCTTGGTCTTGGTTAGTGTGGTCTTGACTTCAACACTAACTATCACTGAATGACGCACCGAACGTGCACACCAACCACTGTCACTGAAAAGCCTTTAGAGGACAGAAAAACTAACCGGCCCAATTATTATACGTCCAAAAAAAGTTTAAAAAGTAGCAACTGGCTTGTGTGCTCTCAGCACCGCCAACGCGAGGAAAGAACGCGTGAGGGTGAGAGAGAGAGAAGGCGATGAAGAGCTGTCGGAGCAAGTCACGTAGTTGCCAGGTGAACTTGTGCGGGGACTCTGTGATTGGCTAGTTATGTTTACATGATTGGTGATTTAATGCAGACCAAATGACCAGATGATTTAACACAATTCTGAAAAACGTTGCCAATGTAACCACCAGGCTACAAAACAAAAACAAAAACACAACAGTGCTGGGTTAAGATAACAATGACCTTCCCCCTGCACTGTGTTCTGCTTTGCATCAGAAGAATGACGAGGCCTGAAAGCATCAACAGTCGTGTTTTGTGGAATTTACTTGCACGATTAACAATTACACCTTAGAAAAACAAACAATCCTCAATTTAATCGGAGCTCACAGAGTGTTGCTTATGTTAGCCGTTCCACGCTTAAAATCTATGGGGGCACGATAAACAAGTGTTTTCCTGCCTAAGTTAAGAAGTGGATAATTGGACCACAGAAGGCAGTCTGCACTTAGCGAGTGCACCAGCTCAATAGAGAGTGTTGAGGAACTCATTAAAGTTTCCATTAAACCAACATAAGAAAGCTTAGGTGCGCAGCTTCTGTTCTTCAGGATTCCAATTAAAAAACAGCCCAAAGTCAACCTCTCCGACACTGCTTATTTGGCAAACTGCAGCCTGTGGGAGTGCGCGGTGCATCCAGGTGTGCAACTTCTGGTGTGCGTACGGAGTGTGTGTGTAAACTCGACGATAAGAAGCTTCTGCTGAGATATCCTTGAGGCTGAAATCCATAATCCCTGACACAGACACACACACAGAGGAACCACATGTCCCAGCTGGCATATCAAACACATGCACTAGTGTGAGCTGTTGCAAACACACACACACACACACACACACACACACACACACACACACACACACCCAACCTTACATGCATGCACTCATGGCAGGATCTGATTGAACCCTCCAGTGTACAATCTGCCAAGAGGAGACGGCTTTTGTTTTAGTGGGCTCCATGGCTTAACAAACTCAATTTGGAGCAGATGACACCATCAACAATGTCACAACAGAGGTCGCCCCAAACCACAGGGAGTACATCCTTCTCCACTTCACACACACACACACACACACACACACACACACACACACACACACACACACACACACACACACACACACACACACACACACACACACACACACACACACACACACACACACACATACAACCACAATGGCTGTACATACACACATTGTATGTACCCACTGAGAAAACAATTGCTCCCCAATCCAATCAATTACAACCTGACTATTAGTGTCCCTCTAGGCCTTGCTATGTGAACACAAAACACACTCTAACATCTCATAGTAAGAGGTTGATGACAGGCAGAGGAGACAAAAAGGAATGAGACACAAGGCCTGAAATAGGGGCTGACCAATTTATCGGCCAGCCGATAATATCGGCCGATATTAGCTTATCAAGTGACTATCGTTTCTGCTAATTTTGTCTCCAATATGCCTTGATATTACAAGATGGATTCACCAGTCAAACAGTCAAATTTCTTTGAGTATCATTGGATTAAACTAGCAGTTCTCTATGGATTACAAAAACAATATCACTCTCCAGAGTGTCAAGCGGTGATAAACGTACATGCGCAGTTAAGTTCCAGTTCAGTTCCATCTTGTCTTTGTTATCATGTTGCCTTCATCTTTTCCACAAGTGTTTGATAACTGTATTTCAGGGTTCAACACAGTAAATGTGTATATCTTTATCTATCTATCTCTAAAGATCGAAGAAAGACATCGGCGGATATATAGGTTTCAGATTTTCTTTATCGGCCCCAAAAATCCCATATTGGTCGAGCCCTGTGAAATACATTTGTAAACTACGGAAGCCCTAAGCGGACATGCATCAGTACATTTTATTTACTCCATTCTCCCCTGAAAGCCAGTCAAATCTGCTCACTTCTTAACTTGTCTGAAGAGCCCACTCTAGTTTGTCTGCATGTTGTTTTTTTTTAAAGCTATGACTCATGGTGACTTACGTCATCATCTAAGTCGTCCTCAGGCGAGGAGTCTTCCTTTGACTCTGCGCTCATGTGAGGGTCATAGTTCAGGGTCCTCCCATTACAGTCGCCATACTCTGTTATAATGGAGGGGAAGAGAGTGGACGCCTGCAGCAGCTCCAAATGATCCGGCTGCAGTCTGTTGGTCACCCCGCCGGCATCCCCCTTGTTCTCCCTACTATCCTCCTCCTCTCCTCCCTCTCCGGACAACAGGCTCTCCCTTTCCCCGGTGGTGTCTCGCCTTTTGAGGCTCGGCGCCCTCCCCAGGCTGTTCCAGCTCGAGCGTCGGCTTCCCCAGGAGCGGGGAGGAAGAGGGGAGCGTCTGCCGGGACTTGAGGGGCTCTGGGAAAACAGGATTCAAGTGTAAGCATAGTGTGTGGATATGAAGATGAATGAGTCCTTTAAGATCCCCAAGATAAGGCACAAGCAGGAATGTATCTTATCGGTTGCATTTTTACGTTTTATTCTACAACTGTTCTCAAGCTGTTTGGCTGCTGGACTGAATGTTATGCCAAAATGCTCTACTTTTTATAAATATGTTAAGTTCAAAGGATTTCTCCCATTTTCCCCTGAGCTAGTAATTAAGTAATGACCTCTCTCCCTGTATTTACAGATTTTCTGTCAAGCATCACGTGTTCCTTGTGGAATAAGCCACTGTCCACCCCTCCACGATGCTAGCTGCCTACATACTAAAGCTTAACTACAATGTCAGAAGGTTTAAAACCGATGAATGACAAGTCCTGAGTCCTCTTTGATAAGAAGGGAAATTAAAACTTTTCATTTTTGCAGTTGATGGATTTGCAGGTCACTGGCAGATTGAAACATTTACCGCCTGTGATAAACTCAAATGTTCCCCTGTGTATCACATGAGTCATGACTTCTAAGCCCTGTTGCTGTTTTCCATTTGGGACCATTCAACAAATTCAAACTTTTCTCACAAGCACACAAGATGGGAAGATTAGACGCTGTTTAAGTGTTGCACTGCTGTTGTACTGACTCCAGCTTCAGCACTGTGCCAGTATATAGAATCTGACAAATCTTATCATTCAACTGTTTCCAGATTGTTCAGCAACTGAAAGATCCCTGGATACTGACAACTGTAGGGATATGTAAAGTTTAAACAACATTACTGAGTTGTTAGCATTCAGCAACTCTTCTTCAGACATTACAGTTTGATATTCAAACTTGTCTAAGTGAGGTATGATTATGCCTCGCAGTTTTCCTCTTCCTTCTATCCATTCTAACCTATTTTCCACACAATTTTCCTGATTCTGAAAGGAGGAAAAATGACTCAAACAAAAAACATTCCTGAAGACTGTGGTCCTCAAATCTTTAGTTAATTTTTTTCGGATATGAAGTATTCGTTAAACTCACCAGAGAATGCTGGTCGTAGGCTAAGTGGTCAATGGACGTGGAGCTTCCGCGGCGAGAATCTGCATGACCGAGTCCTGCCTCAGAGAAGCCTAGTCCCACCTCCCCATACTGAGGCACCCCCACGAGGTCATCTCCAAGGATGGAGTCAGGTCCCAGAGAGCCTTTAGGAGTGGGCATGGGCGTGGCTGCTGTGCGCATGATTATGGGAGGAGCCATTGTGCCGCGCGGGTCAACATGACCATTGGCTGTCATGATCAGAGAGTACATTTTGAGCTCTGTTGACGAGGAGGAGAAATAAAGACAATATTGACATCTTCATTTAGTCACTCAATGATTTTGCAGTTTGAACTACATATGTCCATTTTACAATCAGAACAGGAAAACAACATATTTAATAATTGATCAGCAGCTGTTAGATAGCAGCCGATGTAAGCAATCACATTGTGTTTGTTAACCTAACAAGTTCCAAAAGGAATTAAAAAATGCCTAGCTGATAATGAAGTTAGCGAGCCAACAGGGACATCAGCAAGATATTTCTTGTACGCTAATGAATTGTTTGTTGGTTTAAATATAAATAGCATAAATAAGACCACCAAACTGTTGAATATGACTGAATGTTTTCAGTGGTGTAACCTACCAGTGTCTCTGAGCTGTTCAACCTTCTCGTCCTCCTCAAAGTTGTCGGATTTCTTCTCATCATCTGACTCTGATCGATTAGCATCACCCTGCAAAACACACGCACACACACGTCAGATATTTAGCATTTTCTAAACAGTTCATATAGATTAAAGGAGCTCATGGAATTGATTTTGTTTCAGAGCTTGTAGAGGATATTTTCCTGGTTGAGCTCCTTCGTTGACACACATAATAACGGGGTTTGATGAGAAAAAGATTGGTGACATGGAATGATCAGGGTGTGTGTTACAGGCTTATTGTAATCTTCTTTCTATCGTCTCCTTTAAAAGCAGCTGTGTCTGACATGTTTGACAGTTTTGGGATTGAGTGTCTGGACCTGTGGTCTTCAGATGGCTCTATTGGAAGATAATTACCAGCAAGAAAATACCCCGATACATCCACACACATTAACATCGAATACATGGCAGCATTCACTCTAATTTGACAGACAGGCTAGCATGTAGCTGTTTACCAGGAGGCTTAAGTCCTGCCTCATCTCCACCTTTTTGCCTGTTTCTAGATTGATCCAAAGTAAGGCGGAATTTGTATTTCCAATATGGAGGCCTCCAATCGTTAAGAGGCTTTATATGCGATTTTTCACACTTAAATATAATAGAAATCAAGTATATCCTCTGAAAATAACTCTGTGAGTCATGACTGTCTACAATGGGTGTAACACACGAGTCCCACTGTCTGTGATGCTTTCCGAGTCCTATCTTCAGTTTGTTTACATCGCTAGGACAGCGGCTGACTCCTCCCCTCGCGTATACAAGTTGTTTAATTGAGGGACTAGAGAAAAGAAGAATAACATACTGTACTCACTGCTTAACTGTGTTTCTAGATCACGCTCATTTCGGGTAAATTTACATGCAGTGTGAAGATACGAGCATAATAAAGATCGCATTAGCATTAGCATGCTAACACAACAATGCAGCACGAGTTGTTTTGGTTTCATGCTGGTGCTCAAGGGCGACATCTGCTGGATCAAAACATCGCATATAAAGCCTTTAAGCTTTAGACCACCTTTTTTTTTTAGAAAGCAATGAGTGATGTCACTGAGCCTACATCCATGTTTTATACAGTCTATGAAAAACATCTACAAGTCTGGAGAGCAAAGATGGACCATGTCCCTAAGATTCAAGTAGAGTTTTTCCTAAAAAAAAACGATTTTTCTCACCTCAGCCTGAAAGCCCTCAACCAAGATGGCCACTAGCAAGTTGAAGAGCACATAGTTCCCAAATGTCATGAGAGCAACAAAGTAAAGAGCAGCCCATGGAGAGGTGGAGGCCATGCCGTTATACAACACCACATTCCAGTCCTCCTGGGTAAGAATCTGCAGATTGAACGAAACACAGACAGGGAGTTAGGCATAAATAAGGAAGCGGTGAAGGGGGAAGAGATGGATGGAGGCAAAAATAGACACAGGCAGAGGTAATGTCAGGTTTAGAGATGCATTATTTCAAAACAAGAAAAACAGATTTCTAGTTCAACAGTGTCAGTGCACGTTATAAACAGAAGGAAAATGTTCTCAGATCAAAGGGGAAGAAGTTAAAGATAGAGAGAAGCAATGAATCAAGCCTTATTGCTCACAATATTAGCCTTTACAGCTCTTATGGGTTCTACACGCTCTAAAACCCCAGAATTATGCTACTTTATTGCTATTGTGCTGCAATACTTCAACTGCACATGGGATTAGTGTAAGTGTGTGTGGGTGTGTGTGTGTGTGCCTGTGTGCCTGTGTGTGTGTGCCTGTGTTTAAATCAATGTGAATGATGAAAGCGTTTAAAAGTAGGACGCTGTTCATGATGCAGCATGAAAGAACACTCCTTCTCTGCCCACTCAGAGAGCGCTGTAGCAGAAAGGCAATCCACCCTGCTGTCTGTGTGCATGTGGATATGCAAGTACACAGACACACAAACACACACACACACACACACACACACAAAGACAAAAGTGAGATCTTTAAACTGCCTTCTTCTGTGTTCTACCTTTCTGCTGACGCATCTGATACAGAAAAAGAGGACAATCTTTCTGGAGCGATGAACAATATCTCCACACAGGGGGAGGGCACAAAATAAAAACAGTGGTGGCAGAGTGTGTGCATAAGCTTAATTCTTCATTTCACAGCATTTGACTTATGGGCTGGCTACATTCAGCTTGGTTTTGATTTGGGATTGCCAAGTAACAATCTTAGAAGCAGGGGTGTGTCCAGAGGGCGGCCTGGTGGATGGCATAGCCCCCTCCTGGATATCTGATTGGCCAACCCCAAGTGCCCGCCCATCACCACCCAGAGTGCCTTATGGATGCAACAGGCTGGCATTTGAGTAATTGCTTTAAAAAGGATGTCGAATTTCCCGTACAGTACATTACATTCAGTTTTTTTTCAAGATGTTGGATGTGTGACTGGCAGCTAACAACCTAGCCATATGTATCTAACTAGACTGTAGAAGGTGTATCCAAATACGGGGGTAAACCTCATGCGTAGATTTTTTTTTTGTTAAAAATCTACAATACATTACAAGTTTCATTAAAATTTAAAAGATCAATCAACAGTAAAAACAAAAACAAAAAAAAAAAAACTCTTAATTCAAATACACCCAATGAAAATTTTACCCTAAGCCAGTTGAGCAGAGTGAACTTCTGCGGCTGCTCAACTATTGTCTTTCTTCACCTTATATACAAAGATATATATTGGGGAAATTCAATTTTATGTAGCATGTTCAACAACAAATACACACACATGCACAAACAGGATCCTTCTATTCAATGTGCAATAACTTGTAATGCTTATTAAGCTCTATAATGTGCAGTTATATCTAAAAAAGAACATAAAACAGGTCAAACTGCTCTGAATGCACTTTACTTTTTCTCTCCTTTAATATTATAAGTGTGTATGTGTGTGATTCAATACATGTGGTCTTGTAGTGAATGTTTCCTATGCACGAGAAGATAACAGAAACTTTCTATTCTAGTTTGAGCGAACAAAATATGACAAAAGAATTGGAGACAAACTGTAAATTCCAGACAGGCGACCCTTAAACGCAGAGGCACAGCGTTCAGAGACAATTAAAAAAAAAAAAAAAACGGACCTGGAACACGGTGACGATGGCCCAGAGCAGAGTGTCAAAGTTCTTGCGGTCAGGGATGGTGTCTCCGTTCTCTGTCCTCAGACTAAATTTACACCCGAACAGATGCATCCCCAATATGCTGCAGGAAGCAAGAACACACAGACACCATCAGTTGAATGTGCACGTCTTGACTCATCATCTCGTCACCATTGGAAGGGAATGGTGGTGTTTTGGGATTGTACGCATACCTGAAGGTGAAGATGAAAAGCATCAGCAGCATGCAGAATGTGGCCACGTTGTCCATAGTCTTCATCAGCACCACCAGCTGTCTCCTCAGGGCCGGCAGGAAGCGAACCAGCTTCAGAACCCGCAGCAGACGAAACGTTCGCAGGACGGACAACCCTCCATCTGCTTGACCGATGATCTCCCACACACTGGGAACCGCAAACAACCAATTTCCATTCAAATTTTAAAGTCTGAATTTGCTCCACCTCTGTTAAGATTAGCAAGTGTAACTTTTATTGGGTTTTGCGATTCAGTTGTAGTAATTAAGAGAAGTTAAAATGGTTATTCCACTCGTGCAGCATAATCAGCACACCACACATTTAAAATAATCTCCTGATTCAATATGTTTTTTTATCACACTGACTGACAGCCGTGCAGCAAATCTCAGCCTCTGACTGGATGGAGAATCGGCTGCTGCAGCTGGTGAAGCTGCTCCTGTGTGATCCATCATGACTGTGTCAATCTGAACTATTGTAAAAGATAGATGCTGCAGCAGTGAACCTGACAGTGGAAACCCATTAACTGACAAGCTGAAGAACTTATAGGAACAGAGGGTGGCTCTTCCAAATCCAAGATCAGCAGTTGTCCGGTTGAAATCTGTGTTGATGTGAATTAAATAGATGGATTTAAATTACCTTATTATAACAATGATGCTGTCGAATATGTTGTACGGGTTCCTGATGTACCCAAACAAGCCAAAAGCGAGCAGCATGAAGCCCATCTCCAGAACAAACATGCTGGTGAAGACGATGTTGCTGATCTCCAACACATCTGTTAGCTCCTCAGGCTGGAGGGAAGAGAGAAAGGGAGATACAGCGAGAAAAAGAAGAAGAAGAAAGAGATGAAGAAGCACAAAGAAGGAAAGAAAAAAAGGAAGTGGAGGGGGGGGAAAGGGAGTAAGTTAATATTTCCACTCTGTTGCCCCAGGGTTGTAAAAATCCCTTCAGTCTTAGTGCCCTGAGCTGAGACATTATAAATCAAGTTCAGAGCTGCAGTCAGGCCCAATCAATCAAATGGGAACAACAGCAGTGATCCATCAGAGCAGATCCCCTCCACTTACCTCACAGTACAGCCAGTGATCCAGCACGCTGTAACTGAGGGGGCCTCTCATAAAGAATCTAGCTGAGTCGTTTATGGAGAGCGCAGCACTTTTGTGCTCTGGTAAATGTATTACGGCCCCACATCCTTTAACTGCGTCTTACAGAAGCTAGAGCTTTAGACCACCTATGGCTTAGAGATCTGCCCTATAATCATGACAAAATAACTTGATGAACTCCAACTCTCATAATTTAATTTTTAAAGACATGCTTTTATCACAGGGCTTTTATTTATAACCAATAAAGTTTCTAATCTCTTGCCAGTTTACCTCATAAAACCGTGGGATGATCCGTCAGGGTTTCTTTCACAATTTATCCAATCTTTTGTCATCATAGTTTCACTCTGGACTAATAAACACACTGACAAGATCAACATAAAAAAGCATTGAAGTGCTGCTGCTGCTAACAGCATGTCCAGGGTTATTCAGCATGCAGCTCCCCCCCCCCCCCCTTTCTGCAGGAACACCCAGTGTTACATGAGATGCATATAAATACGTATGATCAAGCTGGAATCAAATGATGATCGTAAAAGTTGATGTGATGATTCTAAACCCCCGTTAATTTGTTATTCTATGTGAGAATAAAATCATGCATATTTATGGTAGAGGATATTCAAGCAGCTGATGCCTCTTCTTAATTACAGCTGGGGATCATGGTCACAGATAGAGGGCGCCAGACTACACAACACTCCTCCCCTCTTTTCACTCCACCTTATCACAGGGAAGTGGTGAACTTTTGACTTTCTTTTTGGAAGCGGAAGTAGCGGATGAAGCAACAGAGTCTGGATACAACACTATGCGTAGATTCAATTCAATGTATGTGGAGTATACCTGTGGTGTAGTGCATGACTGTGCAACAGCTTTCTTTTTGTTGTTGTATTTTTGCGATTTCATGCTGATGAGCTGTTGAGTTAATTAGGACACTCAAACCAAAGCAGGAACGCCTGTGCAAAAATAATGATAATGCACGAGGGACTGGAGTGAAACCTTTGAATGTTCTGCATGGTGGAAGGAAAATAATACCATGTAAAAAAAAAAAAAAAAAGAGCTGGAGAGACGGTAGAGAGACTGGCTGTCTGCAGACGCACAGCAGCACATTAAAACTTGAAAGCGTTTCAACAAAGCTTTTAAAGAGCTCTCCGCCATATTCAATGTCGAGCAGATACAATACTAGACTCACATATGTTGACATTAAAACAGGGCTCGAGTGGCTCTTTCATTACCTTTATGGCCCATTGTCTTCTCTGCACAGGAATGAAACAGTATACTGCAGATTTCCGGGGCAATTATTTCTTACACAGTAGATTTTACAGCTCTCTGGATTACAAATGTACCTTGACTTCCTGCTTCACACGGTGCTTAATAGGAAGGTTATACACTGATCAGCCATAACAGTTTGTCTTGCTGCCTAGTACTGTGTAGGTGCTGACAGGTAATGGACTCCCTAGACCTCTGAAGGTGTGCTGGCAAAATGGAACAAGCAGCAAGTCCTTAAAGTTGTGAGGTGTCTTCTAGCACATCCAACAGATGTTGGATTGGATTCAGACTGGCGAACACCGTAAAACTGGTTGTCATGGTTCTCCAGAGCACCTTCTTCAATTGCTCCGCGGTCCAAGTCTGAAACTCACTTGCCCATCGTTGGCGCCCCTGGCTGCCCGTGACCCTGTTGTTAGTTTACTGGTTTTCCCTCCTTGGACCACTTTTGTAGGTACTGACCACTGCAGACTGGAAACACTCTCCAGAGTTTGAGGTGCTCTGATCCAGTTGTCTTGCCATCACAATCTGACCCCTGTGACTCAACTGTGGCGATTCTAGAATATGTTGGGTCCCGAGGCAAAAAATGATTGGGGGCGCTCTTTATTATTATTTTCCTGTTTCTTTTTTCTCTCCCATACAGATAATTCCTCTTCATTTTCCTTCAGTAACTTTCATTGACAAACTTTGGTTTTCATAACAATAATGCATGGGACAACTAGCAGGGAGTAAAGAGTAAGCCCTATCAGGCCCCCTTAGGGAGGTTTTCTACTGTCATTGCAAAATGTGCACATTTTGAGGCACTGCAGTGATTTAAGGTTTGTCGACCCTTGGGGGCCCCAAACAGTTACCTGCGCCTCTGCTTCTCAAAGCTGCTCACATCCTTGCACACCATTTTTCTTGCTTCCAACACATCTACTTCAAGTGCAAAGATGTTGCCTTGCTGCTTAACATATCGCCCCAACTTACAGGTGCAGCCATAAAGACATGATCAGTGATATTCACTTCACTTGTCAATGGTCATAACATTATGACTGATCAGTGTATATAACCATAAAATGTACTGGAAAAAAGAAATATATGAGCTTGCATGGACTCGATAATAATTCAGAAATGTTTTTTTCTGGTTCTTTATTTGGATATTTGACGGAGAACTATAGGAACTCTACAGGCTGAATTTGGGTTCCTGTTCTGGCTCATGGCCAAGATGGAGAGCAAGGTGGGTGGACGGACACAAAAGATCAGAAACTGCTAAAAGTGTAACGGTCAGCCAGTGATTGAATAAATGTAGGTGGGGAGACTCTTGCCTCTATTAATAAATCCCATCATGGTGTCCTTGTGGTTTCAGCTACATCCCTTGCTGCACTTCATTTTACCGTAGCAGTTGTAGATTGCGCTGATCATTAGTAACAGAGTGGTTCGGCAACTGTCAGAGGCTCTTAACTACACGTCAATATATTTCAATTATTCTACTACTCTTTAAAATGAGCGTCCTGAAGTATTGCTTTAGATGTCACTTCCCACTCCCATCATGATGCTCGTCGGAGCAGGTGATCAATCAGAATTAAACACACTGCCAGCGCCCGTATGAAGACATTTAAAATGTAAAGGTGCTTGTAATTGAACACCGCTCTGCATATAACCTTCTTCTAAAGAATACGACAAACAGCAGTGCTATATTTCCCCCCACAATTACATGTGTGCCTTTTAGTACTAAAGAAAACAAAAAGATCTGTTGACTTTGCAGCAGAATTTGAATTATTTCTTGAATACAATCCGTGATCCTGTTAAACTTCTCTCTGGTTTTAAACTGACTTGTATGTTACGCAATGATAATCACGACCGGAGCAAAATTAACTTGTAAAAGAGAATAGTCTCTGATTTTGTTGATGCATTTGTGTCTGCTTTTTTCCAACTGTTGTTATTATTTTGGACTTTTATATGTTTTTTGTAATTCGCATTGTTTCTGTATTTGCAGCCTGTTTCTTCAGAAGAGAATCTTTGGGCTGTTGCAGAGCTTTCACCTCTGTTGGCCACTGTACAGATCAGTCTGAATAAGGCTGAGAACAGCACCAATCATCCCTCTCTCTTCCTCTTTCTACACGTACACACTACACGACACCTCCTACACACACACACACACACACCCCTTAACACACACATACACACTTGTCATAAGTTTGGCTAGGTGTCATGTAAGGGGGCTGAGTGGAGTAGGAACTCTTACATAACCCTTCAATGTGTAAGTGTGTGTGTGTGTTAAGGGGTGTGTGTGTGTGTGTGAGTGTGTGTGTGTGTGTGTGTTAAGGGGTGTGTGTGTGTGTGAGTGTGTGTGTGCGTGTGTGTGTGTGTGTTTGTGTTATTGGCCCAATAAGGCCATGACTCTCCCAGTCGCTTCTTATGTTTATACCACACAGAGAGAAACACACTCATACACATCCCCATGAGAGAGAGAATTAGGAAGGAGAAGAGGAAGCAGGGAAGGGCCCGTGTGCATGCCTGAGAATCTTCTCACTGGGTTTTCATCCATTTGCTGGTCTGATGACCAATGAAAAGGATGTCTCCGTGTGTGTGCATATATAAGATATTTTCTTAGGAGCAAAAACTCTGGAAATGAATATGCAACCACACATATTTCACTTTCAGAGTGTGGGGCAGTGGATGGAGAGAGAAAGGATGATGCTTCACTGATGTTGGACACGCAGGGTAAACTAGAAATATAATCCCACAGTGTGTGTGTGTGTGTGTGTGTGTGACAGGTCTTGTTTGCATCGGTGTGTATTTCTGTGTGTGAAATAAGCTTGCTAGCCATTCCCTCGCTTGCTAATCCTCCCCTCGCTTACTTCCTTTCTCAACCTCCATCCACCCCGCATCATCCCCCCACTGTCCTCTCCTATAGGCCCCATTTACTGTACACCTGATATCGATTTGTGTCCTGAGTGAACGGATTACCAGGAGACAACCTTAAAAGACCCTGTGAGGAGTTTGTAAATGGTTTTGAACCAGTCTGGGATTGATAGTGATGCCTCTATATGACTTACAAAAGCGAACAAGACCATCAACATCATGACTGACTATTTCTTGATTGAAAGTTTTAGTGTCTGTTACTGTTGCCAATGGGAAGATGTCAGACAATAAGATTCATAGCATCAAAAACAAAAAGGTCTTTTTTAACATTTTCATCAGCAAATATTCACATTGAGTGATACATTTGGCTGTTAAAGAAAGCAAGATGACCTTTCTTTTTTTTTGCTCAGAAAACACTACCTACGCATGTGTAGGAGAAGATTAGCAATGAGATGGCATACTGCTTTGTCCACAGGGGGGCGCCAGCATTGACACAAACTGAAAGTTTCGTACAGGGGTCAACGAGCCAAAGATGCATTAAGGACACGTTGAAATCCCATCAGTCAGACCACATTCAGGGAAATGTTTGTCCACATAAGTTAGCAATGCGTACAAAATGTGTCCTGGACCTCATTAAGGGGCGGCCTACTTTTTTTTATCCAGGGCCAGTGATCAGGTCAGATATAATGTTTCATGTAGCTTGATAAAATCTTACTTTTCTTTGTTCCTAAAATGTATCTTTAAGTCATTCCCATGTACATTTACAAACAAAGTTATGCATTAGAGCCAAACTTGTTTAAAATACAGCATTTGTTTCCTTATGAAGGTCACTCATTGCCCTTTACGTTTGGAAATTATTGATCTGAGCTGTTCAGGACTTTTATTCACCTGACACGTCGTTAATCTCACCTGCTCGTGGTACTCAATCCCCATGCTGAGAGTATTGACGAGAATGGCGATCATGATCCCCCGGTTGAAGTATTTACTCTCCACTATCCTCTTCAGTTTATCCCTGAAGCTGACCCAGGCCCGAACGACTGCGTGTCTGTACTCGTAGACCCCCCGCCGTCTGCTACGACCTCGGCCGCCTCTCAGATCACCACCCTAGAGACAAAAAAAGCGATGGCTGTTTAAACATCTTCCAGTTCGGACAGAGCTTATCAAATCTGATTGGCTAAGAGGCGTTCCATGAGTGCTGATATAGATGACAACAGCACTGGGACTTTTAGCTTTTTGTGTAAACACCATTAATTAAAGTGACAGCTTTGTATAGATTGATCAAGCTACCTGTTTCTTAGAAGTAAAGAGGAAACCAATGCAACTGTGAACTTCAGCAAGTGAGATACAAATTGTTTGGGTTGCTTGGCAACAGCTCAGTTCCACTCAAGTTGTAAATCTATTTGCATTTGCAGAAACAATGAATGAATGATTAAAGAACAAAACAACACTTGGATTTTCTAAGCTGTATTAAGAGTTGTTGTATACAATCAGTATTCAACACAAAGATGTGCTGTTATACTGAATATCAGCACAGTGTTTATTTTCTACAGCACTACCTCTAGTGTGATATTGACCAATAAGTCACAAAAGTTGCAAAGACTGGTTAAAATGTTGATGCATTCGTTCTTTTATGTAGTTTTATGAAATATACAAAACAATCAGTATGAAAACTGATGTCAGTTTTGTCTCAAAGGACATATCAGTGTGTTTCTGGCTGATGTATGATCAGAACACTTTTCCCAGTTCTGAGTTCTTTTTTTTATTAGATCATCATCACCACTTCTCCACAACCTTCACCCTCATCATCCTTCAAGCAACACTCGCACGTTCCGACCTGGGGGAAGTCATGCAGTCCATCAGCCTCTCCTCTGCCTCCCTCCAGGTCTCCCAGTTCCAGCTCCAAGGTCTCCAGGCTGCGAGCACACAGAGGGCAGCTCAGCAGCTCCAGGAGCAGAGGGCTGGGCACCACGCCTGCCAGCTGGTACAGAAGCCTCTGGCGTCCTAACGGGGGGGGGGAGAGATGAGTGGAGACATTGAGAGATTGCAAAGAGGGGTTTTATAGCTGACCTTGTCTGCTTCTGTTGTCTCTGAATCTTCACACTGCAAGATTGACATGAAGGAACCAAACTTTCACCAGCATTTCACCAGGTGCACTGTCATTTATTGAACATTGGAAATGGTTTTCTTAGGCAGCAAATTATCTGATATGTTTAACCTAAAACATCTAGGAAATGTAGAAGTGTTTTAATTGATTTTCTGAAAAGCAACTCCTGCTATGAGTGCCAGGCAGTTGACGGTGACACAGAATGGTGTATAATCAATTTTTATCAACTTCTTTTTCCTCTCATTTCAAATACACCGCAGACATTCTGACCACAACAATGACCTCTCATGCTGTGCTTTCAGATTCCATACATCTGTTACATGCAGCTCTCTCTGTTCCTCTCTTTACATGCTGCACCCCTGTTCACTGTCTCCTTGATTGTCCCTCCTCCTTCACCTGCTGCACACCTGAGTGCAGTCTGTGCTCAGACTGGAGGAGGGGTATTTAGAGGAGCCATGTAGGAGAGACAGGGGCACACACACTCAGGGCAGCAACGTGGTGAGAAGCTTTTCTTCCCTATAAACTCTTTCCCTATCTAGGTTTCTATTTATCCCTAGGCACCTCAAGATTGCTAGAGATCACTGGTAGTCCTATTTTCGTTTCATCTTCTCTTCCAAGGTAGTTAAAATCTGTGGGGCGTCCTTATATGTTTTCAGCTTCCATGTTTTGAGCTGGATTTAATTATTTTTGGTTAAGGAGAATACAGCTAAATTCAGTGAAAAGAGAAAAACAAAGAGCTGAACACAAAGTCAAAGTTATAAGAAGTTATAGAATATCACCGCCAAATATGCTGTACATGTCCTTGTCTATTTACTAAATGTGCTTTGATTCCAACTCTTGGAAGGTTGTTGAAGTTCTCACAAATTCCTTCAAAGGGCAAAACATTTGTCTGAGAAAAAGCTTGTTAGAATTCATCCTAACCCCCCATTACCTCATATTCCATTAGGATGGATTTGATTACGTTTAGACTCAAATTTGATTTGAGAGCCGCAGACTGGAAACCAAGTCTCAAGAACATTAAAACTGGGTCATCTGCCAAAGCTGAGAGCAAACATTTGGAAAGTGAACTTCGAGAAAGTGTCTGGAGATAACATTTATTCATTAAGATTTTCAGCTTACAATCAACTTCAAACAACTGCCTGATATTTGCAGAGCCATCACAAAGGTCACGCCCAGGATGGGACCCTCAAATGCTGCTGTGTGGTCTTTAATGGGGGTCATAAAAATATTGGTAATCTGATACATTTGTCATGTTTCATGGCTAAAGAGAAAGCCTGCAAGAGAAACTGCAAAAACAACAAGTCTGAGGGGATAACAGATATATTTAAAAATTTAACTAACAATTCACAACCTATTATCGACTGTCAGACAACAGCTAACGTTAGCATCTAGCCACTTACTCGATTATTTTAGGGTTACTGTTAAAAAGAAAAGGCTGAAAGCTAATATTACCATCAAGCATGCAGGAAAGGCTTCCATTTAGCTAATGTTAGCATTCAACCAATTGGGAAACTTTATCTTAAACACTGTGCTAATTTACAAGCTAATAATAGCATTTGATAGTTTTACACAATAGGCTACCTATTCAAAGCTAACTTGATGTTAGCTAGGATGTGGTTAACGTTTCCACTTCCTATGTATTATAACATTGTAATAGTTTAACACAATACTTGTGAAAAATGTTAGCTAGGAAGTGAACATAAGTGGCTGTCTAGTGCGCGCATATGGTTTTCAAAACATCTATTTATGGCCTGATGTCACGCTGGATTTTGACCATGAATTGTCTTTAAGTAGCTTTTTAATAAAGAACATTGTTTTAAGTTCAACAACCTACAACCTGGAACACAGCTGTGCAACATTTTAGACGCATTAAGCGTTTGCCCTGGTTATGACATAAGAGGAAAATGGCCGCCGTGTAATTATGCTGATTAAGCAGATTGAAATGTGCGATGCTCTTCACATATTAATAGTTAAGTGAAGTTTTACAGTCACAGCATCAACATAATAACAGTTAGCAGGTCACAGACGTGTTGGCTGTTTAACATGTCAAACACAGCAGTGGTGTTTTTAAAGCTCTCTCTTTGGGCTCTGTCGTTTTCTGTATTCATCACGTGTCAACAATGTACCGCCTCACTCCGACAAGAAACTATTTCACGGGCGCTTAATTATGTTGAGAGTGTTGGCTGCTGTAAGCGTGTAACGTGTTTGGAGAGTCTGCGTTCGCTTTATTAGCAGTCTCTAATCATTAAGACAGAACAGACAAGTCTATCTTACTGCTGTTGCAGATTTACTTATTTGAATTTATGTCTTTCCTCTGTCCTCTCTGCCTCATATTATCCCCACAGCTTACCCTCCTTTTCCCCTTTCTTTTCTCGATATCGATCTCACTTACTTTAATCTCTCAGTCTGCCTCTCCTACTGAAGGTCGGAATCTATGCCTCTCCTATAAACTCAGTTTTTTTCACTCATTGTTCACATAATTCATTCTTCAATTGTACTCTTGTGGGTTTTTTGTTTTGTTTCACTTTCTACAGCCTCCTTTTTTCTCTCTTTCTGATATCCCTCACACAGCGAGTTGATTCCTACAATCCTCCCCTTTATCCACCTCTTTCCTCTGACGACTGCAACACTTGAGACATGGATTTCCTGTCAGGACTCTTTAAGTGCTGCTTTAGACACACACATCAGCACAAACACACACACACCCACACTCACACACACACACAAACAGTTAGCCAGTGGCTACTTCTAGTCAAACCTGGGCAGAGGGCAGAGCTTTTTTGCTCAAAGAAAGGGCAAGAATTAGGGAAACGAAAGGAAACTTGATGACTAAAACATAAGGTGAAATCCAGGTCAGCATGGTACAAATGTGAGGAGGTATTAAAGGACTGAAAGTTCATTAAAAATACAACAGAGACACACTTGCAAAAACTTTAAAAAAGGAAAAAAACGAGAGTTCTGGAAAGAAGATTAACAGGATTAGTACACCTTAAAGAAGACAGTATGTGTGATGGCTTTTTTTTTGGATTATTATATGACTCGGGTTGTCACAGAGTTTAGGTGATTTTTTCTGTTTTAAGCTGATTTAGACTCAACTCTGAAGCACCAGTGGGGATTTTCATGGTAGGGAAAAAGTTTGTCTAACAGTAAACTCAACAAGGTCCTTTCAGAAACGTACAGGTGATATATCAGCTTCTTTGTGTGTGTGTGTGTGTGTGTGTGTGTGTGTGTGTGTGTGTGTGTGTGTGTGTGTGTGTGTGTGTGTGTGTGTCATCTTACTGTGCTGTCCCATGAGCTGGTAGAGTTTGTTCAGTGTCTCCGTGTGTTCAGACGTCGGGTGGTTTAGCGGGTGCTGCTCCGGACACTGCCCACACTGCTGGGAGTGGGGGGGCGGAGTCTTGCTGCTGTAGCTGCACACAAACGACGGCAGGATGGTCGGGTAGTTCATTCCCCCGTTCAACCGCCCCAGCAACGAGCCCATGCGCTGGGTGACGCCCGACGGCTGTCCACCGTTATTCGTGCTTCCTCTCCGGACAGGAAGTGGCTTCATCTCCAGCTCTTCCTCCGCTCCCTCTGTGTGCTCTGCGGGCTCTACGGTGATGCTGTGCTGCCCCCCGTTGCTGAGGCGACAGTGCTGGTGCTGATGGTGCTGCAAAAGGTTGTGGATCGGTCTTAGCCACAGAGCGCTACCGGGGCCAGAGCCTCCGCAGCCCCTGCTAGAACCCCCGCCATTACTCCCTCCACTGCTGCCATTTGGATTCACCTTTTTACGCCTCTTACTGGTGAAAAAGATGAGAAAACACTTCAGCATGGAAAGGTCTGTATAACGCGGAAGGATTTATTCTTCATGTGTGTGAATACATTTCTTGGGATTTGCCCGGCATATTGACAAAATCACTAAAATCTCAAAACTAAACCAGTTTAACTTGCTGGGAAAATGGCTAAATTCCCATATCATCATGGTTTCTTATCCTCTGACAATGAAAAAACAAAAAGTCCACGGCTCACCTGTGCCATCCAGAGTATATCCTCTGCAACCTGCGTGTTAGCTTGCGGTAAAGGTGACTGATGTAGCGTAGCATCTCCTCATAGCACGAGCCTGGCTCACTGTAGCTGGCGAGCGTGGAGTCGTTGGACATGTAGCGAGCTCGCTGCTCCCTCATCAGAGCGTTCTCTCTTTGCTTCGTCTCAGAGAACTGGGTGGCGATGACCACGAGGCACAAGTTGATCATGAAGAAAGAGCCCACCTGGTCGAAGGATTTTAGAGAACAACGCAGATTAACAAACGTGGATGCTGGAGCTTTTTACCGTCTGGCGGAGGATATCAAACCAATGAAATCTCAACTCATCTGTGCATACCTAAATCATAAGTTATAATGCTGTTATGACTTAGGCTACGTGCAACATGTGCAATAAGGGTAGATTGCAATTTGTGAAATGTGTGATTAGTATCTGCTTCTCTGCTACACTTTTTCCATGTCAGTTAGGAAAGATTCCAGTTCGTCTTACTCTCTACTCAGGCTGTTTTTTTTTTTTTTGGCTGGATTCTGGTCTGATATGTATTATTAAAGCATTCCTTAAAAATCCTGTAATGTAAATCTTGCTCTGATGAGGTGGCCTTGACAGAAAGTTTTTCATATCTCTAATGAAGTGTCTATTCAGAGTGCTAATACAGCGGCTAAAAAGTATCCGAGGAACTTCCGCGAGCACTCTCTCCACAGTTCCTCTGATACTCTCAGCTTTCTTAATTTCCGTCTCACTCATTTTCTCTCTGAATTTCTTTGTTTTTTCTTTTCAGCCATTCCTCCAGTTCCATCTCTCCTAACTCCCCTCCTTCCATTTTTTGTTATTTTTTATTTGCCTGTCTCTCTCTCTCCCTCTGCATGCATAATAAGCATTTTTACATCAAACGACAGGCACGCAGGGGAGCTCAGACAGCATTTTAAGATAAAGCCAAAGCTAAGATCCTCAAAAAACCTCCACAACAGCGTGATAGGAGCAAAATTATACATGATATGAAGTCTGCGAGCTCAAACGGAGGGGAGATGCTCCGAGCAGACTTCAGTGGTTCTCTTGGAGAGGTTATTCTGGGTTTTTTAAACCCAAATGCACACACACAAAAGAATCTGTCAGGATGAACATGTTACAAAAATGCATATTTATTGTGGACCATAATGCTACAGACTGTAAGAAGCTAAAAAGGAGCAGGATAAAAGAAATGCATGCTCCAGATAGCGCTGGTCGGTTATGTAGCAATCTTAATTTATGTATAAATGAGAACTGATCGGTGTGTAACGATACAGAAAGGAGTTTGAGGTTTAAATGTAACAGCATACCTACCTTATTTTTTTAAAACAGCACCGCAAAACTACACTATAAGTCGGTCAGTTTTATAAAAGGCCAAGTTAGATCTGTGCAAGATATTTCAGACCCGATTACAAGCTTAATTTTAAATGAATTTTGTTCGTATTTTTCACATTCAAATATCAGGACAGGGTGAAAATAAATAAAAGGGGTACTTACAATAATGAGCAGTATAAAATATATAAAATTGTAGAAGGAGTGAGCATCCATGACATAGTACATAATATCCACCCATCCTTCCAGTGTGATGACCTGGTGGCAGAAACAGAAAGACAGAAGGGGGAAACATTGTTATTATGACAGGGAGAGACAAATAACATCCCTTCCTGCTTGTTACTTTCACTGTAAAAGTATATGACACCCAAGAATACGCGTAAAAAACTGTGCAACCAGAGGCACACATAAACTCAAGGCACAGAGCAGTCAGATGTGACACATTTCCAATTCTGTTTTTAATGGCTGTTCCTCTAAAAAAGAGCCTGTGGTACTGGTGTCCCTCCTAGTTCTTATATGTTTGTTTGTGTGTGTGTGAGTGAGTGTATATGCCAGGGGACCGATGCAGCTCTTTCATGTAGCAGCTATGCTAATGAGCAGTCGAGATGCTGAGACCTGAAAGCGGAGGTTCAGCTCAGGCAAGCCGATGATCCGCTCACACCTCAATATTTACACCTCAGCTAGCAGAACACATTACAGCTTAAAGTGCCAGCGCACAGGCAATAATAGCGCGAGCAAACATACACCAAACAGGTGTCCAAACATAGATTGGACCAACAGAAAGCGTACGTACATGTGTTTTCATAAAGAATCATACACAAACGTATCTGAACACATCCCTCAGATGCTGTTACGCGCACATACATTCAGACACAGAGGCGGCTAATCCGCTCTCAGCTGGAATGCTCTCCTTGCACCGGATTAACACAAGAGGAGCTGATTCTCATTTCTGAGCCTGTAGAATGTAATTATTGGGCAAATTCACACAGTGGCCATTTTCCTCATATGTCAAGCTCTGGGTGGGAAGCTCAAATGCTGTTATGAGGTCAGACTGCTCTGCACCTGGTTGTAAGTTGAATACACGTTTGCACCTGCGATCAGAAACTGAACAGACAATTGTGAGTGCAATTCCAAAGGGACACCAGGCCACATTTAAAGTTTAAACAGCCTATTTGATTACCCATTGGCTCCTATGACACAAAGACATTCATCATTGCTACCATTTCATCAGGACATTCAATGAACAGTTACATTTTCTTTTCTTGGTTGTATTTCATCAGGATGTGTTGCACTGTCCCAAGTCTTTTTATATGTTGTGTTTTTACCCAAATTTCCTTTCCAGGAACAATAAAGGTCTGAAGTAAATTCAACACAGCTCAAATAAAGCTAATGATAGCATTTAGCCAGATCCTAGCTTAAGCAATGTTAGCTAGCTAGCAGCTGAGTGCTAACAACACCAACTGACAGTGTATACTGGTGAGAGTATACATGACATGTTAGCAGTCTATTGGTAGTTAGGTTTCTGCCTCTTTAAGGCAGGCTTTCCTTGCCACTGTAACTTTGGTTAATGTTTCATAGTGCTGTGCTCAAGGTGGAACCATGTTGGGTCTTTATGAATAATATAACAGAGTACGGTCTAGACTTCTCTTTTTATAAAGTGTCTCGAGATAATATTTGTTATGAACTCCAAGCTCCCCCCAAATGTCCAAAGTCCTCACCCTATCTCTGAGGCTGAGCCCAGCCACCCTCTGGAGGAAACTCATGTATCCGCGATCCATCTCTTTCCGTCACTAACCATAGCTCATGATCATGGGTGAGGGTTGGAACTAAGATCATCCGGTAAATCGAATGCTTTGCCATCGAGTTCAGCTCCCTCTTCACCACGACGCCCGCTTTACTGCACAAATCTGCCTGTTCATCTCAAGGTCCATTTTACCCTCACAACAAGACCCCAAGAGATACTTCCACTCTTTCACTTGGGGCAAAGACTCACTACCCACCCGAAGTGAGCAATCCACTCTTTTCCAGAAAACAGCCATGGCCTCGGTTTTGAATGTGCTGACCCTCATCCCAGCCGCTTCGCAATTTAACAGCAAATAAGCTGAATATCATAGTCAAAGAAATGCTACACAAATAATCAATGTTGAAGACCTACGCTTGGAGCAGAAAGCAAGCTTACGTGCATGTGTGTACATGTGTTTTCATAAAGAATCATCATAGTCATAGTCAGAATTCATCTATTGCTTCCACATATTATTAAAACACGAAGGACAAACACCATCTAGCTACTGAGCAAAACCAGAAGACTGCACCCATTGCTAATGTGGACAAGTATCTGCAACTTACTTCAACTCCAGGTACAGGTGGATAATAAAATACACACACACACGCTCTGCTTACAAATGGCACACTGAAAAATCTCATCTTAGACTCAAAGTGATGCTTACTTAATCCTCACAAAGTTAAAAAAACAGCAGAATTTAATCTTTAAAGACTCTAACTGTGGGCTTAGACCACACACACAAACTCGAATGTTTCTCGTTCCTATCACGAAGCAGTATGTCTATTTGATGTGTGTGTGTGTATAGGTGTGTGCTTGGTGGGTATTTGCGTGTCTTAGTATTAGGGCTGTCTGGCGTAGTCTGAAAGTAAGACAGTATTTGAAAAAGTCATGTTGTGCAAGCGTGTTAGACACAGAGACAGATCTATTAGCGGCTCCTGGACAGCTGTATTAAAATGGTGGGTTATATATCACCAAGGCACAGACAGTGTTAGAACAAGGACTGAGATAGGGAAAAGCCTGTCAGGGCTCTTCAGGGAGCTGGAATCAGTAAGAGTGAAAAGAAAAATACATTTTAACAACCTGTGATGGAGGGGAAAAAAATGAATATTTAAAAGTACTCTACCCTCACAGAATCTTGTTTTTGCTTACGGTTGTAAAAGAGCATATCAACACCTAAATTAAATTAAATTCTTAAAGCTAAAATCTCTCATGAATCCGTTCTTACCTGGAATATGGCTATCCAGGCATAGCCGATATTATCAAAGTTGACGGCTCCCTTGTGAGGGTTGTGCTCCCCAGGACGACACACGTTATAGTACAGGTTCCAGTTTATGCATCCATTATTACCAGCCCCGCCCATTGCTGGGGCTGATCCAATCAGAGCTGAACTTTGGTAGGAAGGGGCCAATGAGCAAGTTGCCCCGCCCTCGGTGTAGGCGGCACCGAGTCTGCTCCGCAGCGCTGCATCCCGTTCTCGCGCGGACCTGAGCAGATGAATGGGCTGTCTTCACCCTCCTCGGACAAGTAGTAAGGATTCATGGACCAGTTGTACAGTCTGGATGAAAAAAAAGGTTAATTATACAAAGGGCAATGTGGTATTATAAGTACATTCATTATTGATATCTGAAGTCTGATGAACTTTCTCAAGCTTTTGGTTGTTTGTTAATATATTTGTGTGTTTTTGCTGACAATTTGAAAGAAGGTATCAGTAGTATAACATCTTAATCATGTGCATTAAAATGATTTTTTTTTTTTCACAATAGGGAAAAAATGAATATGCCACACACAAAGTGTCATTTGTGATAAGAAGATAATCGCAAATACAAGTTGGGAAGTGAAAGAGAACAACCAAACCGTCGTTTGTTGCACTGATGTTCGATGACTGGGATGAAATATGGAGGAATGAAAGATCTCTCTTGCTATTCAGTCAAATTCTAGCCGACGCTTTAGTCCAAAGTGATGTACGTCTGAGAGTAAGTCCAACACAGGTACATGTCATTTTGTTCATGCTGAAATCCCCTGACTTTATTAGTTATACATTCTAGCTTCAGGTATTTTAGGCTTGTCTGTATTCAAAGTGAAACGTCACGCAATACCTCAAGAGCTGCCTGAGCAAGGCATTTTCTTACTAGTTTCCATGGTGACAGCTGTTTTCCTACTCCACTATATGTGATGGAGTGTACTGAGTGCATCCCACAGTTTACCTGCCTATTTATTCCTTCCCTTTCAAAGTCAAGAGCCCTCCACAACAATGAGTGTGGCTCTCAGCAGAGTGACATTCACTCTTGAAATGCTAGTCGAGGGACAAGTTTTCCAGACTGACGACTGATTGACTCCCATTATGCTACAGACATTTCAGCCCATATTTCCTGCACAGTTTGCCTTTTGTTGTTGTTTTCTTTATCTGTTGTTTGTTTGTCTTACTTCTGCATTACTGTAACTGACTTTAACCTGACAGTGGTGAATTTGAAAAAAAAAAGATGTTCATGTTGCGTTTGCGTCTATACTTGGAATAGTGCCATTCTAACTTGCACTACATCAGACTCGAGCACAACAGTAGGGACTCCAACATAGGTAATCTCCAACAGGCTGATCATTATATGTGATCAGCCATGTCATGTAGAACATGCTCGATTCTCTAAGATGTCTTAATCTTTCTGGAGAAAGAGCTAATGCGTTAAGCTAAGGCTGCACACGCTTTAGAGCAGGAAGAAGTTGGGCGTTCATATTGAACTGGAAGTCAGACAACCGTTTGTTCTGTGAGAGAAAACACAGCAGCCTTGGCGATGAAATATTAACCGGCTGCTCTCATTTCTCTCTCGCACACAAAAAGGCTTCAGCTGTATTAGCTTTGATACAATTTGTACCATTACATCAAAAACAGAATTAGTTCGAGGATGTCCAAGGGACATGTTTTGCTTCCTGAGGTTGTAGGCTTAGAAGAAATATAATTTCACTCCCCATGGCATATTCGGTGATAGTGCTCTTATTCCCTATCTGCTTGCATGCACGTGTGCTTTGTGTTTTTGTCTTCTTTGTGAGATAGAGGTTGTTTTCTGTTGTGCTTTTTCTATCAAAACATGTTGATAAGATATCTACAGTTTGCAATTTGGTTTCACAGCCTACCAAGTCTTAATAGGAGAAATGAAGACAAAATAAAGTACCAAACACAGTTAGTATCAACAGCAGATCAGCAAATTAAGATCGCCAAATAAAAAGCCAGATCATAAAAACACAAGAAATACAACACGTACAATGTAGATAAATAATTAACTATATAAACCTTAAAGGTTATTTAAGTGTACAGGAAGTTACCATAAATCAATCACTGCTTTCATCATTCAACGGACTGATAGCTGAAGGAATAAACGAGTTAGAGTATATGTTTGTTCACCTAGAAGGGGCAAGACAGCGCCATCCTGAGGACGTTAAAGAAAAGTCCGTGAGAGAATGTGGTCAGGTTGATCTACTATCCCTTGGCGGTCTGTTCCATACAATCACTCCAGAGGGAGCTTAAGATTTTCAGATGGACTCCTATAAACTTGGAGCAGACTTTTATAATAAAGTTCAGCAGAGTTGGGCACAATGGTCTTTCTAAAATATTATAAATGACTTTTCTTTGGGTTTACAGTAATTCCCAAGAATGACTTTTTGCCAGATTGTTTGTAATATATTCAGGTTCTCATTTAAACCACCTCAAGAAACAATGTCACATCATCAGCATAGAGCAGATGATTAATGGCTGTATATAACAGTAAAATACATATGATTTAAAGATACAACATTTAGTTAAAATTATCTCTGTACCTTTTTCTCTCTGTCCTTGCCTCTCCTGCATGTCTTTTAGGCCATACATCTGTGGGCGTATGCAGTGTGGTTACTCTAACGAGTGATAATTTCCTCTTTTTTTTTTTTGCTACAGGCAATGGTTGACTGTTACGCTCTCTGACTAGTCCACACAAACTCTAACAAGAGAGCGCAAAAGAGAGGAGCGGAAAGAATGATAATGGTGGGGGGGAAAAAGATCATGTTTGAGTTAAATGAGCTGAGCATGTCTGATGATTTCATGTGTGCATGCTTGAGGCACCAGAGCAGGGTGGATGGAAGACTTTTTTCTGTGTGGTGGAAATTAAAAATTAATTGCATCTTCCAAGTCTCCGATTGGAGTTTGGATTTTCCACTCATCTCTGGTTTGTCTTATCTCGAGTAAAAATAACTTGAATCAGTTCCTTTTCTCACCAAAGTGCTTCTTCCCTCAATTCTAATATAGAACTGAGATCGAATATAGATTTGACCCAAAGTCTTGAACGAGCAATTTCCTGAGGGCATTGGCGCTATTTCAAGCACATAAAAAAAAGAAAAAGGAAATCTCCACACTTGTCTTTACCCTCTGACCAGATTACTTACGATGTGAAGTTCTCTGGAAGGAAGCAGCGGTTGCGCAGTAGACCCGCCCACAGCTGGACTCCCACAATGCCGAAAATGAAGAAGACAAAGAAGCAGAGGAGGAGGACGTTTCCCAGCATGGGCAGGGTGTCCAACAGCAGTGTGACCAAGATGCGCATACCTACACAGCAGAGATACAAAAAGTACAGATGCCATCAGAGGTCATACTGTCTCACACGCAATGACATTGACGACACATTCAAGGCTCAGATGCATGGTACATTGTCAAATTCTGCATGTGGTAGCAGCTAGCAATTTCATCACCCTCCGGTTACCGTCCACCCTGACAACGTCTATTGATCTTGTCAGCTTACTGGAAGCCGCAACTTCGTCCCTACAGCCAATAGAATTACAAGTGATGAAAAATAGCAAAAGTGACAGTTTGACGTTATTTCATCCTCTGGGATTTGACTTCACAGTTTCCCTGTGGCAAATGTTATCTAACCACATGCATTCAGCATCATCTCCAGCTGTCAGATGTGTTTAGTGTCGGCAGAGTCAGGGGAACTGGTCCCTGAGGTCCTTGCAGGCCCCCGCCCCCCTTTCACATATATAACACAGCTTTGTCACATTGACCCCACATACAGTATTCCGTGGTGCTAATGCCAATAATGACGGTGGTGAAGAACTTCAGACTGAAACAGCCTCAAGTCTCCCTTCATTTGTAACATTTGAGATTAAAAGCGTTTTGGGAATTTTACAATCATCAAGTTAGTCTGAAACTGCACTAAGCTTGAAAACAATCAATTGTATGCTGAGTCATGAGCCCATTTAATGCATTCATTAATAACATGTTGACTTGAACTGACAGTAAAAGTTACCATATAACCGGGAAAAACAGGAGAAAAGTCAATACAAGTAAAGAAAGGGTTGTTGGGGAGGGCGCAGTAACACTCACTAGGAAGGGTGTGACACCATTACTTAGGGTTGGATAACTTCAGGAAGGTTATTGAGCATCCATTTGGGCATTTTAAGTTTTCTTGGAAACAGCAAACCCATGTGAAACAGCATGTGTTATGTGTTTACCTGTTGGACTTACTGGAATTACATTTAAAAGTTCAGAGATGTCTAATCTCACAACGCTGAAGAGCGGTACAAAACCGAGATACCACAAATAGCTTTGTGCTGTCTCGTCTGGATTCACCTATGCATTTTGATCCCTGCACCTGTCACCAGAACTCAGAACAGATGGGAAAAACAAACACCAAAGTCGGGACAAGCGAACAGTCTGAGGGCTGCATGAGCTGGTTGTTGCATCCTGCCAAGATAATAGGGCACAGAGAGTGTGGCTCACTGTATACTGACTGCAGCACAAAAAGAAATGTTCATCTGTCTCCTTCCCGTCCATTTATGCAGGAAGACAAACAGAAAGAGTGAAGGGTTTGTATTAATAAACAGACCTCCATGTTTAAATACAGCACCTGTTAAGAACCTCAGGAATAACACTTTATAGAGGAACGCTTACCTTAAAAAAAGAGGAGCACCGACAAACAAGCTTAGCTAACATTAGCAGCTAAAGGGCCCTTGGATCCGCTTTGTACACATAAGCTTGTTTTATCTTTAAATTGGTTCATTGCCCTGCTAGTCCTTCATTGTATTTATCAATTGTAACATAATAATAATGAAAATAAATGAAAATGGAATAAATAAAATAATAAATGACCATAAGTTAGTCATTTTTTGCTTCAGAAAATAGTATTGTTCTGGTGACAGCCATATTACCTCAATATTTACAGTGTGTGTAGGCTTCCATTGGTGAAATAGGCAGAATTTCAGGTCAAATCAGTTGATTGGAATTGGAATTATTAATCATGGTATTGGATTGATGCAACGGCTGGCGTTTTGGCAATACCACATACTGCATTTGAGGCCGCATTCGAGGCATATCAGATACTGGTATCAGTTTTGGGACAGCTGTAACTGTGAAAGCATGAGTCTGTTGGCTTTTGGAGGGGGCTGTTTGTGTATATCTCTGTATGCACACTGACCTTGGCTTTTTATCCTTAAGTTATACCTCTCACTGTCAGTGCAATTCCCTCTATTTTCATCTCCCGCCAAGGTTTAGACCCCTCAGGGAGCAACTGAAAACTCAATAATACAAGTGTTACTTCTTCTGTCCAAGGCTGGAAAGGCTGTTTCTTAGAGCTACGGATGTCTTAACAATAAGGTTAGTGTTAGATTGTCAGTCCTCACACTGGAAGAACAATACAGCACACGTGTGTTAAATTGTTGGTGATTACAAAACAGACAAAGACACACATTAACAATCATATGATGTCATAATTTGCGTTGGACAATCTGTGTCACATGCCAACAACTAGCTTATTCTGTGAAAGTGGGGTCATTGGTAACACACACACACACTGCTTGCTGTAGCCAGACAGCACACAGGCATCCATTACCATGACAACATAGTTAGTCAGTGTAGTACAAAAACCTCCGACAGTACTCCCATGGGTTTCCAACATTGTAAGAATTGATCTTTCTTTGCAATAAATCTTGTATTACTAACATAAAGCTGGCTAAATCAATAAAAATAACAAACAATTTGACACCAGACTCAAACAGCGACTATGACATAAATCTTTAAACAACAATTCTGAAACCTGAGAGGTGTATTGGTCAAAATAGCTACCAGTACTTGCAGCCTTAACCTGTAAAATATAGTTTTGCCAAATGCCGGTTAATAATCCTGTATCATGTTATGACACTAATGTGTAGCGACCCTCTTTAGATGTGGATTCATGGCGTCTTCTGTCACAGAGCTTTTAGGAACATGATTAAGAATGTGCGAGCTCACACTCAACAGTAGGGCCGTAAAACATCTGATGGAGGGCGATTAAAGTTAAACTTCACCTAGTGGCTCATCAGACAATTTACCATAAAGGCACAAAGCCCAATATCACAGTAATCTAACGAAAAACTTGTACACCACAATTCAAAATATGACGCTATAAAATTGCCACCAAAAGCTCTGAATGCTTAGAATTGTTTAATAGGTAATTTCCCTTCAAGGATCAGTAATGGATATCTCAAAAGTGTATTCATGATTGTAGACAACATGTTATTATTGATGCGTTTCAAACATGGACTTACTTGGCACTCTGTTGATGGCTCGCAGCGGCCTGAGGACTCTGACTGTACGAATGGCTGACAGACTGGCATTGTGGCCATCCAAAGAATACTCCATCACCCTGAGGACACAAGAGGAGGGGGGGGAAAAGGTGAGCGTTTTTCAATCAGAATCAAAAAAACTTTATTGATCCCTAAAGTAAATAATAGTGGTACGGTAGTTTACTAAACCATGTTCATTTTAGTGGTAATGCCACTAATGTCACCATGAGAAATTATTGCACAAGTAAAAAATCAGCAGCTGCAAAGATACTATTCCATGTTGATTGGGTGCAAACAGATTCTACATCGTGTACATATTGCAAATGTTATAAAACTGTGGTTATGAACTAATATGCAGGGCGAGTTGTTGTCATATTTCTTCATGTGCGGTCAATTTGTTAACATGGATGTAACTAAACAGGTTACTAAAGATTCTTGTAATGCTTAATGCTTCCTGAAGTAGATAGAATCAGAGGTACGGTCTCTTATTTCAGCACCTAAGCAACGTAAATGTGACGAGAAGCAGAGAGAGAGAGACAGAGGGATACAGTTATGGTCTTAGCTGTGTGACTGTGCTGGCTGCGTGAGGAGTGTGTGTGTCGTCATACTGGCTCAGCACTGAGAGCGTGGGAGTAGATAAAGGAATTTCTGGCAGCCAATTGGGTCCTGCACTTGTCTAAAACATACAAGATACTGGGACCACAGCCTTCAGTATGGTCTGGCATGACATGACATGACATAGACTTTCAACTGAAAAGGATCGGCTATAAAAAAGTGGATTTTTCACCAACTAGTTTCTTGAAAATTCAAACTATTTGACAAGTCTTAAGGTAAGAAAACCGTCAAGGGTCAAAATTGAGCGCAATTTATAGAGTGCGGGGGATATCTTGTGCATTCATTGTTGCAATGAGCTGTGTTATCTTTTCAGACCAAGAGGGATGAGAGCATCTGTCGGTAAACGATGCCAAATTGGTTTGCCGACTGTGGCTAACCAGCCTTCAGTCCCCCTTGTGGGTTAACATCCACTTGCCGGTTCTAAATGTGGTTACGTATTGCTCCAGTTGATATATGCCAGTTTTACCTTAACTGCACATTTTCTGGATGAGGAGAGCAGGCATATTAACCGGCCAGTGTCAGGTTGCTGCGTTATAGCACAGACACAACATGTAACAAGCATTGTGGGCCTACATTAATAATAAGAATATTAATACTATGTTTAATTATTGAATAATTCTGGTCTTGACTAGCAAGGGTTAGATGTTAGATCATTGAGTTGATGGAATCTTGCACCTCTCTTCCTTTCAGTCCATATAATTCCTACTTTCAACGTGAAGCTTTTATTTCTGCCTCCTGTCAACCTTAAATTGCAGCCTTGCTTGTCAGATTGTTGTTCAAGAAAGTGTTATGTTATTCAAAGCAGACTGCTATTTTCTAGCTGCAGACGACAGAAAAATGAGCAGTTCTTTTGTGCAAGAGAAAAAAAAAAACAATGTGGCATACAAACCCTGCCATGACGATGACAAAGTCAAGCTGGTTCCACTTGTCCCCAAGGTAACAATTCGGGCCAAAAATTCCCAGGGCCACCATCTTGATGACCATTTCCACAGCGAAGAAAGCAAAGATGCAGTCGTCCAAAACCTGAAGGAACATGATGACAAGGTCACGTACAAAGACGGCGTTAATGTTTAACAGTGACGACAACAGAAAGAGGAAAGTGGCTTATTGTCAACAGAATAAACGGCCAGGTCCTTGTTCAGTTTTCTAGCCAATATGAAGGCTTATTCTAAAGACGCTTTATTGGAGCCAGTGGAGGTTGTCTGAAAAAATAAACTCATGTCTCCATTAGTTAGTCTCATCCCGGCGGGGAATAGCTCTAGCTAAGCACGGCTATGACTGTTTCTCAATTAATTAGACATCTAGCACGGCAAAGAGAACGTCTGTGTTTGAATGTAATGAGCGCATCTCAGCTCGCCAAGAGTCAACATAACACTACAGGAAAAGCTGTTTTGAAACAAATGAGGAAGACGAAATTAGAAAAGAATAAAATATGTTTTCAGTACCATTTAGTAACAAGTAGGATTTATTTTGTGATTGTTCTTGGTTTTCCAATCAAGTCCAATGACCTAAAGCAGAAGTTAAGGCTGTATAGGTGGTACAACATCCTCATGACGTTCTAATCTTATTCTCTTCATTCTAATGAACAAGACACAATCAAAACTACAACGAGCAGCAATCAACATGTAAGCTAATTTGGAAATAGATTGGATAGTGTTCCCCAAAGAGCCATATTACTACTGAAATTGCAAATAACCTGGCACAGTTCTTTAGCTACATTTAGTTCTGCCTTTCTTTTTTTTTTTTAGCCAGGGCTGAGGCAAACAGTGTGAATGTGAGCCACCTGTTTTCATACAGTAAATAACACAGAACGTGCATTGTGCCCAGTTATGAGTACGTGGGAGTGACACTGACCTGCAGGATGCGGCACCACTCCGACTGGCAGCTGACGTCCTCACAGGGCTGGAACATCCCAAGAGTGACACAGTTCAGCAGGATCACCAGCATGGAGAAGTGCTCGAACCATGTGCAAGAGCAGGTTAAGGCCAAAAACATGATGATCATTTTGAAGCATTAACAACACACGGTGAAGAACAACACGCTTGGTACGAAACCCTGCAAAAAAACATTACATAGCTTACACTGTTAATTCGACGGGATATCGATAGAGAGGGGAATGACACGCAAAAAAGGAAGCACAGAACGGACCTGAACTCAGGGCTGCTTCACTTCGAGGACCACAGGCTCAGCACATTTGGCGTGCGCACTAATCGCTAGGCGTTACCCCACAAATTAACAATTTTATCAAACCATACAAACTGTTTGGGGGGGTGTAAGAGTCTGGATTTGGAAACAAATTCTGTTAAAAACAAAAGTGAAGCAATGTTTCTATTAACTAAATAGATGATCAAAATCAATATATGTATTTTGTGTTTTTGTATCCCAACAGATCATATCAGGAGTGCTGATCACGAGAATAAACACTGATCAAACACTACATCAATCATGTTGCAAGTTCTGTTAATAAACTCATAAATCCATTGTGGTAGCACTTACAACATGATACATGATGGAACCAGTTCATAAACACAAGTTAATTAATAGAACAAAAATAGAAAGCATATTTCATGACCCTTTCCCAAAACAACATAATTAATTAATAGATTATATCACCACACCCTTTACCATAATAATAAAAAAAAAACAATTCAAACTGAGTAATCGAGTGTGTAACACTGAAAGACTGAGGGAGGCAACTTTAAAATCGTGTTTCCTCTAATGAAAAGAAAAAAAAGGTTTGCCATGAGAATAAAGAATAAATGTGGTCTCCATCTTTCTATGTTGACAACTGTTGGTTTTCAAGTTTTAGCAGAATACTTTGCTCAGCTACAACAAGCTCCACAATCTGGTTCAAAGAGAGAGCAGTGAACAATTTTGAACGTTTCAGAACGTACTCTTCTATACCCATGAGATAGCTTCTGAGGAGACTATTTCCTGGATTTCACTATAATTTGTCTTTAAAAATAAAACGATGACAGTCAAAAGAACCCTACAGAAAATTCAACCTAGAGGAGATAAGTACTAAATTAAAACTACACCTAAACGTCCCTAACTGCCCATGATGTAAGAGGAAAATATCCATCGTGTGAACATGGGTGATTTGCAGGTCTGTAGGTGTTTTTCTGAGCCCTGGATTCCACCATTCACCTTAAGCTTACTTGACACACCCTAACAAGTGTGCAACGAGGTTAAGTAAAAACTCTATTAGCTAATCCTATGGGTGGCTTAAAAATTATATTGACACAGGTGTCTCCTATTTCTTGCAAATGCATCCGAACGTTTAAGGGGAAAGAAGATAGCCTGCTCTATTTTCCTTGGAAAAAACAAGGTCGCTGCCAATGTGCCAAGCTCCCATTGCCATGGTATGCAGCAGCTGAATGCTGATGTTAACAGAAGCAGCAATACCGTGGGAGGCAGGAAGAACACAAGCCTTGCCACTTATCCTCTGGAGGCACATTTCAAAAAGAATTAGTTGGAGATATTAAGCATGGGAGCGCCACTGAAACATGGGGAATTTTTAAAAGCAAGGCGAGATGTTAAAGGGTTAGTCCAGTTCAGAGGCCATGCTCACACAGTGTGAACAACATTTTATGAACTTAATTCTGCAGGAGCAACATAAACTCGGCTACATTCACCATGTTCACACGGCAGCTGTTATCCTGTGACATCAGGGTTTAGTGGGAAGCTCACATGCAGTCTTAATGATCTGCTACTGTGTTTCAAAGTTTGCAAATCGTATAAACACAGGATAACTGACAAAACCATCATTTCAACATATTTTGATTGATCAGCAACTAAACAGACATTGGATAGTAAATATCTGGAGGCTAATTGGGAAATATTTGAAGTTTGATTAGCCACGATGTATGAAGTTAAACAACATTTCCAATAGCCTTTTACCGTATGTGCCTTTTGATGGCCGCTAATGTTGGCGTTCAACTACTTTCTAGCTTAAAATAGTTAAAGTAGTCACAGCTTACAGTTTGGTAGAATTACAGTAAACATTAGGGACATAGTAAACTCCTTGCTTATGATGTAGCTTAGCTAAAAGTATGTTGAATGCAAACTTAGCGGAGAGCACCAAAAGAGTTTTCACAGGAGTTGCTTCGCCTTGAAATAACCGCAAATGGTTAATGTTATGAATGATGAATAAGGTACAATTCTTACTAAATCACAACAGGTGTTGTAAGCAATCAACCAAATCCTTCTCAACAAAATTGTTAGCTAGCTTAGTTAACCATTTTCTATAAATGAACACTTTTACTATTGTAATGTGTAACACGATCAAACAGTAACATTAGCTAGGAAGTGTTTGAATGCTAACGTTAGCTGTTGTATTATGAGCTATCTACAGTGCCGTTTTAATTTGAAATATGGCCTGCTTTTTTATAGTAATCTATTGTCTCTTCAGTCGTTAATCAAATTAAAAACATTTTTGAAAAACAAGATGTTGAAGATTGGCCCCATTTACAAACTTTAAAAACATTAGCACATTCTAACAACGTTTGAGTTTCCTTCCCTCAAAGCATTTAAAAATTGTGTTTACTTGCAATGTCTTAATATCAAGACAAAGAGACATTTTCATTTGCATGTATGACCTTGGGGGCAGTCACTCACTTTGCTTCCTTTTAACAGCAACACATGCACACTAAGTCTGGCGACATAGGGTCGATTTATTTTCTTCAGAGATCAAAGATTCAGTAATCTGCGGAATGAAAATGAGAGATTTGAATATTCAGAGAAACTCTCTCTCTCTCTCCCTCCAGTGTTGCTCTGTGCCTCCCTGTGCTCTGCTCTCTCTAATTCCTCTTTAATCTCCACAGTCAACACCTCCTGAGCCCCCTTCTGTCTCCAGCTCTCCCACACACATACACACAAACACACACAAACACACACACACACACACACACAGCTGCATGCATGCATGCATAGACACACACTAAGCATTAATGTTTAAGTCCTCAAAGTCAAGCCAGGCAAGAGCTGCAAAAGGAGCTCAGCGTATGAAATGCTTTGCAGTAATCAGAAAGCAACAAAGATCCTGGTGTTTTTCACATTTTTGTTTGGCACTTGTCCAAACACGACACAGTTAAATTGAACTGACAAATTAATAAGTATAGTAATGGCTTCCCTGTGTAGCTATGATCTTGGTCAAACACTTTAATGTGGCGGAGACTAATCCATGCCTGCTGCAGAACGCTCCTGGTCTCACAAGCTAAAGTCGATTCATGCCTCAGCACTCTAAGGAAATCAAGTGATGTCCGCACTGTGTCACACTGGATGTAGGACATCGTTGGTATTCATAGGTTTAGATTTGGGTAATCTTAGAGATTAACCAATCGCACGCTGTGACCTCTGATGGCATGCGCTGGTTGGAAAGTTTGAGTTCTTTAATAAAGGTCATACTGCAGGTCATACTGCATAGACAAACTATGATTATTTCATTACTTCCACGATGGATGAACAATTCCAATAAGAAAGAGGAAAAATCTGAAGGAAAATCCAGTTGAATTTCTAACTAAAACAATATCATTGATGACCAATTAGCTACGGTCAGACAACAGCTAGCGTTAGCAGTAAGCCAGTTATTAGCCCACTATGAGAGCTATGAGTACTGCTAGGTAATACTTATACTGGCAGACTTAGGATTTTAAATCAAGCCGGTTCAAGACCATCGCTGAAATGCTATTTTTCCAAGATTTTACTCTGATTAGAAGGAAAACGCCCCTTTCCCGGTTATGCCGTACTAGTACTTTTTACTTTATGTGTTCTCAAAAGTTTCAGAGGTGACGTCATATTGTATTGATAGACACATTCAGGCTCATGAAAAAAAGAGGAACAAATAAGTGCGGTGGTGGCATTAGAACAGCTTGCACAAACGGCTAATATATGGAGCATTAATTACATTCATTTCTCACCGTGCAGTGACTCATTGACTATCTTCAGCTTCTGCTATGCTAATATGAAACAATATAAGCCGTCCAAGGTAAACAAAACAATGCAGTATCTGTAATAGCCTGTTAAATTTGCACTACACTCTGTAACAGCAGAGTCTCACACCCAGCGTGACTGTGATAACACTTACACACATTCACTAGCCATACACACACCGACACATGAAACATTTACAAATACATAGAACTTGAATAAATTCTTGCATTTAATTTCCACATGATGAAAAGCAAAGTTGTGCTGCACCTTTTATAATATCAAAATGTCTTCATTACTGAGCTAACACACACACACACACACACACACACAGACACATATTTTGACACAAACGCTGCAGATGCAAGACAGCAACAATCCCCCAACACAACCTCTCAGGCATACGTGGATGCACAATGAGCGTGAATACACTGCAGAGGTCTCACAGCGCACAAAACAATGTCAAACCCACTCCACATTGCGTACACGGTGTGAAGCCCACTCCAGTAGAGCTGTCAGGTTGGTGCCAGAGCATTCAGACAGAGCGGAGGACACGGTAAACAATAAAAAGAGCACTGAAGCACCACAGAGGAACAACCGTCCAGTTGTCTCCAATCACAGTAGCTCATTCAGCACACGGTTTGTGCACCGTTAACTGTGACGGAAAAAACACACTGTAGGTTTGTTGAATCGCAACCACATTATCAGCTGTTTTCTGTTTTTCTCTACTTAATTATCTTTCCTCGATTTTTTCCTCTCTTCCTCTCCCCAAGAACAAGGAACTCAAGTGAGCCTCAGCTCATAAAGAGAACTTATTCCTATCTGCTCCACGACTGTGCACTTTTTGTTCTGCAATAAACTACAAATTTAGCCTGTCCCTTCTGCTTAGCATGCTCTCAGGCTAACTACCGCTTCAGCTTCGGACAGTTTTCAGGGACAACTGCATGATCACACAAAGACACAAGTTGGAATTGGAAGGGAAGCAAGATGTGAAACTGATAGACGTCCACCTATTTTTTGCC